GGTTTAGGGTTTAGAGTCTACTTGGTACTACACAAGGGTCCCCAATTTTCGGAAACCCCCCCATGTCTAAAGGTTTGGGGTTCCGTTCAGGCTTCTGTAAGGTTTTCGGGCTTAGGGCTAAGGCCTACATACGCACGTGGGTGATTATCCAGGTTTAGCATTCTAAGCTTAAGGGTTACAGGCTGGAAGGTGACGTATCCGGGGATTAGCTGTTGCAGGGTGCCACCGGTGTCTGTTGACATAAGCCATGACCTTGGCAGGGGTGCCAGTCAAAGGGACGTTCTTTATGTCGTTCGTTGACGGTTTCTGGGGCTTCGAAACCTGCGGCCCCAACATGTCGATTACTGTGTCAGTTGGACTGCTCAGTGGCAAATCAGCCACCGTGAGGGCCGGCGTGGAGGAAGAAGTGGGAACACTGAAACGTCAGGCACAGACTGTACTTGGAGTTGGAAGAGGGCGACTGCTGGATGCCTCCGGGAACGTTTTAGATGTAAGCATGCCGATCAAACGTGCCAGGCTGCAGGAGAGTGACTCACTGACCCTGCATATAAACAGAGTTCAACTTCAAGCAGCTCCCTATGCTTTTGCTGCTATTCTCGGCGATGGATCAGTCGTGACCTGGGGTAATGCCGGCCATGGCGGTGACAGTAGAGCTGTGCAGGATCGGCTGAAGAATGTGCAGCAGATCCAAGCGTCTGATGACGCGTTTGCTGCAATTCTTAGCGATGGATCCATCGTCACGTGGGGTTCAGACAGGGCTGGTGGTGACAGTCGCGCTGTGCAGACTCAGATGACGAATGTGCAGCAGGTGCAGGCCTCTAGCTGTGCTTTTGCCGCTATTCTCGGCGATGGGTCAGTCGTGACCTGGGGTGATGCTGACTGTGGCGGTGACAGTCGCAATGTGCAGACTCAGCTAAAGAATGTGCAGCAGATCCAGGCCTCTAGCTGTGCTTTTGCTGCCATTCTTTTTGACGGACGGGTCGTCAGCTGGGGTAGTGCTCGCGGCGGTGGTGACAGCAGTGCTGTGCAGAAGCAGCTAAGGAGTGTGCAGCAGATCCAAGCCACTTACCATGCTTTTGCTGCTATTCTTGGTGACGGATCGGTCGTGACCTGGGGTGATGCTGAGTGTGGTGGTGACAGTAGAGCTGTGCAGGATCAGCTGAAGAATGTGCAGCAGATCCAAGCCTCTTACGGCGCTTTTGCTGCTATCCTTGACGACGGCTCTGTGATAACATGGGGTTCAGGATTCCATGGTGGTGACAGCAGTGCTGTGCAGAGTAAGTTGAAGAACGTGTCGCAGATTAGCGCCTCTCACGGCGCTTTTGCTGCAATTCTTGGCGACGGCTCTGTGGTGACATGGGGTCCAGCAATCTTCGGTGGCAACAGCAGCTCTGCGCAGCATCAGCTGAATGCCGTGCAGGAGATCCAAGCCACGGCGGCCGCTTTCGCTGCGATTCTTCAAAATAGATCCGTCGTGACTTGGGGTGATCATCGCCATGGTGGTGACAGTAGTGCTGTTCAACATCAGCTGAAAGATGTGCGGCACATTCAAGCACCTCGCGCGGCTTTTGCTGCCATTCTTGGCGATGGCTCTGTCGTGAGTTGGGGTGCCGATAGTGCTGGTGGTGGCAGTCGTGATGCGTCGACCCAGCTGAAGAATGTGCAACAGATACACGCAACTGATTTCGCTTGTTCTGCCGTTCTGGGTAACGGAACTATTGTGAGCTGGGGTGATGTTCGCTTTGGGGGGGACAGCAGTGCCGTTCAGATTCTTGACCTGCCAGAGTGCTAGCAGCACAGAACACCGTTTGCGCATTACTTTACTATGTTATGATATCGGAAATCATAGTATTATGATGTCGTATAATAATACATTGTGATACAAAATACATGCAAGTGCTCAGGAGAGGTGGGCAACACGCAGCAGGATATGCTCCGCTACACTGCCAAAAAAAATCGGGCTCGAAAGAATAGCCAGGCCCCCAAGCAACATCAGTCAAGGTCCTCATATTCACTAACCATTGATATTATGGGAGCTAAGGAGCCAGGGATGATGATGATTCCTATTAAATAAGGAGCTAAAGAGCCAAGGGAACCCCCAAAACCACTGGTTAGTTCAGTCCTACAAACCCCTGTGAAGATCCTATAAAGCCCCGTGTCTTTCAACGGTTCAACAAGCAACCTACTCTGTTTCTTCTGACCCCCATATTTCAATCTCGTAAAATGCCCTATAGACTTTAGAGGAACCTTTTAAGGAACTGCTGTGGTATTCTTTTCCTTCGCAATACTATTTTTGAGGTTCCTTATAATCAGTATCGTATAATGGGCCCCAAAATCCTATTCTAACTACTAAGGCCCCTATCCCTAAACACCTTGATTCATTTGGGTGAGGCAGAGCCCGAACTGTGACATCCCCCGCCCCAGAGCCCAAGCGCCCAACCGCCCTTCAAGCCTGCAAGTAATGTGGGCTCCTTAAATTAGGGACCCAAAAAGCACATAAGCATAAGCATTTCATGGGGATATCCCTACCTTATTGGGCTTCATTATAAGGGGGGTTATATGGGATATCCCTATCCTAATTTTTGCTTATGTGCTTTTTTGTGGGCTCCTTAAAGGGATCTGCAAGGGTTCTATAAAGGGTTTAGGGATCCTTATCCTTAAAGTTCTTTAAACAATGTATACTTAAGGGTGGTTGTCAAAATTAGGGGTCTTCATATAATTAGAGCAGGGGTTCGGTTGAAGGGTTCCTTAAAGGGATCTATAAGGGATACTATAAGGCTTTATATGGGTGGTTGTCAAGATTATGTTCCCTTGTCGGGTCCCTATTATAGTACGGCACCTATTGTGTAGGGTACCCAATTAGGGACCCCAATTTTGACAGCTACCCATGTAGGTTCTACAAGGGATCTCAATTGGATTTGGGTTCAAGGGGGTTTAGGGCAATATCCGACTTGACCTGCATACCACTGAACACCTATACTATGCCGTGGAAGCATGGCAGTTCCTACAAAGTAAACCCCACAAACTACCAGACCCCACAAAGGCCTAAACCCTAAGTAAGCCTGACCCCGAAACCCTAAACCCGAAGTAAGCCTTACACATGGCGACCCTCCGAATCGCGTCTGAGGCGTGGCCTCACAACGCCTTGCGACTCGCCATTGGGCGCCGCCTTGCGGGCGAGGCTCAAGGAATGTCGTGTTGGGTTCAGGGGTTTAGGGTTTAGGATATAGGATATAGGGTGTGTTGTTGCGAATGCCCAGCGATAGGCGGTGGCGACGGCTTATAGATTTTTTGTAGGTGTGAGTTGGTGTGTGAGGGTGTGGATGTTGCTTGAAGGCTGATGTACAAGCATCAAAGTGGTGTGCTGTTGCAAAACATCGTAGTACAGTCGCTTTGTCCGCAACGGTCAATACATGTGCCATCCAGCATGTGCAGGGTCGTGCATGCCGGAACCCAGACCTAGCCTGTATACATGTGCGCATGTATGTCTTCCATTCCGTATCGGTCTTTGCATGTATATATCTGTGCATGTATGTATGTTTGTATGCATGTCTGTATATAGATAGCTATGTATGTGTGCATGTAGTATGAATGTCAGTATGTACGTCTCTATGGGTGTGTGTGTGTGTGAGCATCTATGGGTGTATCTATGGAGTTATGTCCTTATGTAAGCATGTTGGTAGATGTGTGTATGTATGTGGACATGCCTCAGAAAATATAGAAAGATTGACTGAGCGTATTTATGTTTCACCGGGATTATGTGTGTGTATATACGCTCATGGTTTAAACTGCGACTTGTAACATTGTAACTAGGGCCCCGTTAGCGTACTTCCACCTGCACTTACTAAGTTGGCTGAAGCTCCACGTAGTCGCGCCCATCCAACACCAAATGAAACTACAAGTCAAGGAAAACCTCCAAAAAAAGATTCACAACAAGGAGCCCTAAAACAAAACTAGATTAACGATGATTAACGTATTGAGCTCAGGAGACACACCCAGAGACTCCAATATCCCTTAATGAAGGAACATACCTTGGATTTGTTTCGGATCCCTAATACGATTTCCGGGATAGTCCTTAATTAAGGGACGTTGGAGGCCCCTAAACCCTATAGATCCACTAAGGAACCCTTATAGACCCCTTCAAAGACATAGTGGAGTCTCTGAATCTCGAACAGGCGGAGTTTTTGGCTCCACGCAAGGGACCTCAGGTACTGAGCTCCCATTCCGGGATGTCGTCGCGGACGCCCATGAAAAAGAAGGGCGCTTACAGTGTAGGTTTAGGGCTCAGGTCTTACATACGGTTTCAGGGCCCTAAACCCTAAACCCTAAAGGGCTTCTGAGGGCTTCAGAATTCATAGGGATCCTTAGGGGTGTAGGGGGAGGGGGGGGTAGGGGGCCTTAAGGCCCATAATAAGGACTAATAAGGCCTATTTAAGGAAATATAGTCCCCTACACCCCTCCCCCCTACACCCCTAAGGATCCCTATGATTCTTAAGGCCTTTGCACCATAGAGGCCATTCTTGGGTTCAGGGCTTGGGTGCCATGGACCCTCATACCCTAACCCCTTATAGAGCGCTTCAGGGACCTCTCAAAGTGATACATGGACCCTCAGACCCTAAACCCTTATCTAAGAACCCTTATAGAACCCTTAAAGGAACCCTCAAAGTGGCACATGGACCCTTATACTCTAAACCCTATAGAACCCTTATAGAACCCTTAAAGGAACATGGACCCTTATACCCTAACCCCTTATAGAACCCTTATAACCCTCTGAGCTGCGCGTGATTGCAGGAAGGTTTATGGCAGCCCTTCTTTCTCAGAGGCAGAACAAGCTTGGAAGACCTACTGGACTTTAGTTTGGGGTTTAGGGTTTAGGGGGGTTTGAGGTTTGGGACTATTTTGAGGGTTCTTCACTGTAAGTTAGTATAGTAGAATGGGCCCCAAAACCATATTCCAAGTATGAAGGTTGGGTTGTGACGTTCGTTAGTTTTGTGCAGGCCATGTCTATTTCTGTCACAGTGACCCTTCTCAGTGGCACCCACGCAACCGTTACCCTTCCTAGAGATGCAACTGTGGCAGATCTGCGACAGAAAGCACAGAGAGCTCTGCAAACACCTTTGGGGAAACTTACCAGTGCGTCTGGAACGCTGTTAGGCGGATGTGGCACACTGACGCAATCCGGAGTCGACGATGGTGACACCATCACAGCCGTTACCCGGGCTGTGGCCGTGGCCGCATCTTATCGAGCATTTGCTCTCATCCGGGCAGACGGCTCCGTCGTGACATGGGGTTGTCCTGGTAGTGGTGGCGACAGCAATGCTGTGCAACACCAGTTGCATGGTGTGCTGCAGATTCAGGCTGCCGAATGTGGTTTTGCTGCCCTGCGAGAGGACGGAGTGGTAGTTTCATGGGGCAACCTCGCCGAAGAAGATGAGAGCTACGACGTAGATGAGCACTCATGTCCTCTCCCGAGCGGAGCTCGTGATGTGCGACAGATCCAAGCAGCAACGCACGCCTTTGCGGCTATCAAAGAAGATGGGTCTGTGATTACCTGGGGTCGACGCGATGCTGGCGGAGACAGCAGTAAGGTGCGTGACCCGAAACCCCAACTTGGAGCCTTAAACTACCGAAGGCCTCAATTAAACCCCAAACCAGCCCTAAATCTGAGGTTCCATGTACCCAAATAACATATACTTTCGCCCCGAAGTAGGGTTTAGGGTTTAGGGTTTAGGGTCTATATGGGGACTACTTGAAGGCCAAAGTATCTACTGTTTGGGTACCACGGAGCCTTATACTCTAAACACTAAAGGAACCCTTGAAAGAGCCGTATTCTGGGTACACTCCCCAAGCCCCAAGACAGGTGCGTGACCAACTTCACAATGTGCGGCTCGTCCAGGCAGCTGGGGCCTAAACCTTTGAGGCCTTAACACCTTCAAACCCATACCTTAAGCCGGAATAACCTACCTTTTTAAGGATTTATAGAAGGAAATCATTAAGGAACCCTAAAAAGGTAGGTTATTCCGGCTTAAGGTAGTAGTAGAGGCTTTGTGGGGATTTACTGTCGGGCCTGTAGGGCTCAGGGTTTGGCCGCCCCATATGACAACTGAAGGCCTAGTAGTAGAGTTGGTAACCTTTAACCTTTTTTGGGTAGTAATGTCCCTATATAATCCCTATAAAACCAAAAAGGTTAACCTTTAGTTCCCGTGATACCCGACAAATAGGAACCCTAAACCCCAAACCCTTCAAACCTTGAGCAAATATGGGGGTCGGAAGGTTTACTTTGAACTGGGGGGGGTTTAGGGCTTAGGCCTCGCATCTTATTCTTCCTCATAGCCTTATAAAGTTACACAGAATGTACCTCCGAACCCACTTTTTATACACTGACTAAACTAAAATCCCGAACTCTTACCCTTGGCATCAAAATAGCCCAAAAGCCTTATATAATATGGTCTTTGGGCCCAAAAGCCTTAATATATGAGTCCTTAGATGCCTAGGGTTCCTTGAACCTGAAGCTTCCAAGCCCAGGCAGCAAAAAGGGCCTTTGCCGCTCTTCGCACCGACGGAACTGTGGTGACATGGGGGGATGACGATATGGGCGGGTACAGTGAGTATGTGCAAAGCAAGCTCAAGGACGTTGTGCACATCAAGGGCTGCGGAGAGGGCTTCAGTGCGATTACTGCAAGTGGCCACGTGGTGTCTTGGGGGTTCATGGAGCTCTATGACTACGAGAGGGTACCGGAGATATACAATACCACGCTTTCAGGTGTGGATCACTTTCAGGGTTGCGGAAGTGCCTGGGCGGCCGTGAGCAAAGATGGGCAGCTCGCGGCCTGGGGCCCTCATTCTCATGAACCCTCCAGCAAGTCTCTTAGATGACCTATAGAAGAACTTTAAGCTTTTTTCGTCATATATTTGGTCTATCTCAAACAAGTTTTTTGGGCCCGATTATTGAAGAAGAGAGGTCTAGAGCTCTAGATGCTGCTGAGCTCCGGCGCATGGGAGAGATTTCCTGCATACAGGTGTGTGGCGCTGACGACGATCTGGCTTTCGCTGCTCTTCGCAAGGATGGAGCCGTGGTGACATGGGGCCGGCACCTTGGTCGTGATAACAGCAGGCTCGTCCAGCATCAGCTGGTGAACGTTGTGCAGATTCAGGCCTCATCTTCGGCATTCGCTGCATTACGCTCCGACGGGACAGTGGTCACCTGGGGAGACAGGAGGGTAGATACGACAGCAGTTCAGAGCCAATTGCAGAATGTCAAAGCCATCCAAGCCACCTCAGATGCTTTCGCTGCTCTACGGGAGGATGGATCAGTGATTGCTTGGGGCGTGCGGGCATACGGAGGCTGCACAGGTGCGGTGCAAGGGCAGCTCAAAAACGTCACCTGCATCCAAGCCACCGTCGGGGCCTTTGCTGCTATCAGGGCTGATGGATCTGTCGTAACTTGGGGAAGCCCAGCTTGGGGCGGTGACAGTAAGCGAGTAAAAGAGCAACTGGGCCGATCTCAGGAGGATGACCGGATTCTGTCCCAGGCTTTGGCTGAAGCTGCCGCGGCGAAGGCCAGGGCGCAAGGAAAGAGAGCAAAGGCCAAGGCAAAGCCTCGGGCAAAGCCCAAAGCCAAGGCCAAAGCTAAGGCCAAGGCAAAGGCCAAGGCCAAAGCTAAGGCCAAGGCAAAGGCCAAGGCTAAAGCAAAAGCAAAAGTGCTTCCAGTTCGCAAGAGGCCCGCTGCAAAGTAAGCAGCTGTATGCTACGATTATGCGGCAAAGCCCAAGGCGAAGGCCAGGGCAAAGGCCAAAGCCACGGCCGGAGCCAAGGCAACGGTGCTTCCGGTTCGCAAGAGACCTGCTGCAGTTTAAAAGAGACCCGCTGCCAAGTGAAATTTATTGTTGTTCTGCAATAGCTCTCAGAATCATTTTGCAGTCTTTGACCCCCTCAGCTCTACTAATATAGAAGCCTGCATAATTATCAATATTATCCCTTAGGGCTCCTTCATATGAGTATATTAGAATGGGTCCCAAAACCCTACTCTAATCATAAAGACCCCTATATTATCGCTCCACACCGCCGGCTTAAAGGTGCAGCGCAGCGTATTGCCCTGCAAGAAGGCAAGACTTTAAACTCCAAGCTTCAAGCCCCAAACACCACCCTAAACCCTAAACCCTAAACCGCTCTTGGGACCCTATACTTCACATTACATTACATGAAGCCGACGGACACAATTCCGGCAGTTTGGGGTTTGGGGGCTAAGCTGCAGTAGGGGTGTTCAAACAGTTTAGTTTGTCTGCCAGCCGCGGCTAAGCGCCGAAGGAACATCAATCCAGACCCCGCGAGACAATGATCACATGTCTAACGCGTGGTATGGCCTGATCAAGATCCAGAGGCTCCACATATAGTACCATTATGGAATTAGATCCCAAAAGACCATCTATCTCATGGCTTTTGGGACCTAATTCCATAATGGTACTATATGTGGAGCCTCTAGGAGAGCTTGGGTTCAGGGTACAGTGGCCGTTTACTGGCTCATCTCAAGGCCACCACTGTCGCAAGCCCCACGGCATAGCCCAAAGGGTCCTAGGTACTGAATACTTCCCCAAATCATAAGAGTAATCCCTAATATAGAAACCCTACATTCTACCATATAGGTACTTTGGACCCTTTGGGTAGGTATGTGGACCAAGAAGCGGCTAACAGTTGTCCATTTGTTTCAGCACTGTCCATTCCCAAAGACTTGAAAATACCTTCGTAATTGCGGAGGGATCCGTCTCATAGTTTTACCAAGCCATATTCCCCGTTTGCTCCGTTTTGGAGTCTCTGGGCCTAGGTAGGGCTTAGTTGACCTGGCAACACGTTCAGTGTTTGGGCTTGCCGCTCACGTTGTCTTGTCTAGGGCCACTTGGAGGCCCTGTTGACTTAGTAAGTCTACTTAGTATCCCCTAGAAACCCCATTATAATCCCCATAACCCACCTTACTAACCCTACTTACTAAGTCAAAAGGGCCTCCAAGCAGGGTTGAGGGCCCAAAGCCTTGAACTCTACCCTAAACTGCCACATCCTGAACTCCGAAACCCCAAAGCGTAAACCCTAAATCCCTAAACCCCCAAACCCTGAACCCCTAAACCCAGGTCAGCAGAGTTGCAGGTAGGCTCAAAAACCAAGTCCAGGGTGCAAGGGTTTCGGGTTTCAGGGCCAGGGCCCCGGAGTTTAAAGCTGGGCGAGTTGCTGTTGATGGCTACACTTTGATGCCGGCATTTCTACTCCGCTGCTGAACGGTGTAAGATGATACAGAGAAATTGTTTAATCAGCGAAGAACTCCTCTTTCAGCAATATTCACCCAAGGCCCGTTCTGACCGCTTAGTCCTTGCCAAACCACTGCTCGTTTATGAGTAATACGTACTCTAGTGGTTTTACGTTTCACACCATCACTGTTGCTGACTGCTTTTTCTGTGACTCATACTGTTTCTACCAAGTACCAAATCCGTTGTAGTCATTGATATGATATGTCTTCGTCGGCTGCATTAGCAGTAGCAGCAGTAGCAGTAGCAGCAGCAGTAGTAGCAGCAGCCGTAGCCGTAGAAGCAGCAACAGCAGCAGCAGGAGTGGTAATGGTACGTAGTAGCTGCTGCTGTTGTTGTTGCTGCAGCAGCAGCATTTTAGGGCTTGGGGGTAGAAGCAATAGAACCATCACAAGCAGTATAACAGGGTCCCCTAAAGGGCACTATAGAGTTCGAAGGCAGGGTCCCCATAAGGGTCTCTGGTACGAAAAGGGAAAGCATCATACCCTTATAGTATCCCTTAAAGGAAGCCTTAAAAGGAACCCTAAAGCCTAAACCCTTTACAGGAACCCTACATTACTTGGAGGATCATGGGATTTAGCAAGTAGGGTTATAAGTACCTTAATTGAGGTTGTAAGTAGCATAGTTACCTTATTTATAACCCTAGTTGCTAAGTCCCATGATCCTTTAAGTACTGATAACCTAAGCATCGTGCTCATATAGTACCCTTATAGTATCCCTTAAACGGAAGCCCTTAAACCCTTTTCCAGGAAACCAAACTCCCTAGTACCCATATAGCTTATAGTATCCTTAAATAGGAAGCCCCTAAACCCTCTACAGGAACCCAAAATCCCTAGCATCGTGCTCATATAGTACCCTTATAGTATCCCTTAAACGGAAGCCCTTAAACCCTTTTCCAGGAAACCAAACTCCCTAGTACCCTTATAGCTTATAGAACCCTAAACCCTAAACCCTCTACAGGAAACCAAAAATCCCCAGTTTCTCTTCATAATGAACCCTTAGGCCTTAGGATGGATATATATATATATATATATATATATATAGTACCCTTATAGTATCCCTTAAAGGAACCCAAAATCCCCAGTTTCTCTTCATGCCGCAGCCCCGCGGGGCTCCCAGTGCGCCGTCCGGTGGTGGCGGTGCCGCTCGGGCGACAAGGTGCCAGGATTAGAAGTTCGGGCTTCTAGGGGTCTCTTTAAGGGATCTATAGTATGTACCTTAGGGTTCCTTTAAGGGATCTATAGTATGTACGCTGGGGTTCCTTCCTTTAAGGATTCCTTTAGAGGATCTATGGTGTTTAGGGTTCAGAAGTTCAGGGTCCTAGGGCTTAGGGCTCGGGGCCTTAGGGTTTAGGTTTAGGGGTTTAGGGGCTTAGGGTTTAGGTGTAGGTTTAGAAATTCGAGATTTAGGGGCTTAGGGTTTAGCTTTTGGTCAGACAGGGTTTTCATAGGTTTGCTATTGGGTGCTCTTGGTTTTCATTGGCGTTAACTTTAAGGCTTCCTTTAAAGGGTTCTATGTTGGGGTACTATATGGGATACTATAGGAAAACTACAAAATAAGGGCCTTAATAATTAGAGTAGGGTTCCTTAGAGAGTTGCTTTTAAAGGGTTTATAGGGGTTAGTATAAGGGGTATTATCGGGGTTCAGTACAAGGGCCTCAATAATTGGAATGTGGCTTTTGGGGACTTGCGGCTCCCTGCGGCTGGTTTTGGTGGGTTTAGATGCAGGCTTCTAAGGGTTGTTTGGGGCTTCCAGCGTCTACGGTCTATATGGTTTACCCAGACCTCCGGGAGGATCCAAAAAGCAGGTCCCTTAATGGGGGTTCCTATAAAGTACCCTGAGTAGTATAGGGCCCCAAATTAGGTGATCTACATTCTAGATCCTCCCGGGGGTCTGGGTAGGTATATGTTATAAAGAAGGAAAAGTTCTCGAAGGGCTGGTTTTGTTTTTGTTTGAAGGATCGGGATAAGGTTAGGGCGTGGCATCTTGGCCCAGCATACTCACGCCGAAGCCTCAACAGCAACTCCCACTCTTCCTTGTGTGTACTTCCTGAAGATGCGCACACGAAACCGATGGCTTCAGCCCCTTCTTAAAGGGGAGTTTCCGAAAATGAGGGGCCCTTAAATGATACCCCAAATAGTAAGATCCTTATTATAAGGACCCCAAAATAAGGCACCCTGATTTTCGAAAACCCCCAAATCAGACCCGGGTCTTCACGATCACGCAGCTTGGCTACAATCCGTCAACTTGCCATCAACACCCCAAGCTGTTAGTTGAAACAAGCCAATGAGCTCCGGCAAAGATGGCAAGTACAGAAAACGATGCTAGTGCCACTCCCACTACGCCTCCTCCTCCTACTCCTCCTCCTACTACTACTGCTGCTACTGCTACTACTGCTACTACTACTGCTACTACTACTGCTACTACTACTGCTACTGCTACTGCTACTGCTGCTGCTACTGCTGCTGCTACTGCTACTGCTACTGCCACTGCTACTGCTACTGCTACTGCTACTACTACTTCTTGTTGCTGCTGCTGCTACTACGACTACTATTGCTCCTCCTCCACCTCCTCCTCCTGCTCCTCCACCTATTCCGTTCTGCACTACGACTGCGGTTACCATGCAGACGACGAGTACAACTGCTGCTTCTCCTGCTGCCGCTACATGTGATGGGATTGAAGAGCAGGACACAGAGCAACAGTAACAACGAAACTGGAATGGGTCATAAAAGTGTGAGTGGAGCATGTAATTTGTGGCGACACCCGGGGCCTTCATATTGACCCAAAATAGTAACGTGCTCATTGGAGAACCCCAAAGTAAGGGACACCGAATCTTAAGACGCTCGCATGGGGAGAGCAGTAAGAGAGTCGTTAGTTAAAACGGCAATATTACTAGCAGGAGTTCCGAGCAGCGTGCACTTAGCTCTCGCCGCGCTAGACGGAAAGCAGTAGCAGTTTAAGTGCGCATGTGAATGTATCTGCATGTAAAATGATCTGAAGAACAGGATGAGGAGCAGATATGGCTTGGCCAGAAAATGCATATGAACCTTTGGCCACATACACGATGATGCATGAAGCCTGTCTTCAGGTGAGGGGTGTCGCCCCAGAAGGGGTTGGAGGCCTTCTACAGGGGCATGTGAAGCGCTGCGAAGTTGGGAATAAACGGGATTTAGGGAACGTGTGAGGTTTACCTTGAGACTCCAATATCCCTTAGTTAGGGAATATACCTTGAATCATATTAGGGATACTGTCGTAGTGTAAAGTATATTCCTTACTTAAGGGATATTGGAGTCTCCAGGTAGGGCATGGTTCAAGGGTTTGGTTAGTCAAGGTTTTATGGGTTCGCGGCTGTGAAGTCGAGCCCCGATTTCTAGGGGTGTTCAAGATGTCGTAGGGGTTGGTTTTGGGTTTTGGGTTTCGGGTTCTCAAAACCCTAACTTGGAGCCCCAATACCCAACCGTTAAACTTGTTGGCTTCTTCTGTGGCTATTGGGGTAGTAAGTACACGCTCTTGTTTTGCTGCATTTCAGTTTCGAGGGGGTGTTTGGTTTAAAGTTATGGGTAATGTAGGAACCCGATTAAGAAATCCTGGCCCTACAACTCGAAAAAAATTAAAGTTCATTTAAAGAAGCTGACGCAAGACCTGGCGATTCCTGAATCAGGATCCTACACTATAGGGGCCTAAATAATTGTCGATGCTATTTTGGGGGTTCCTTATTATAATTATAGTAGAGTGGGCCCCAAAACCCTATTCTAATTATTAAGGCCCCTGTATCATAGAGCCCTTATGGTATTCCTTCTAGATCCCTTTATAAGGAACCCCTGTTCTAATTATTAAGGCCCCTGTATTAGGCTCCACTCAGGAGATCCCAGAGCTGCCAGAGGCTGTTCCAAATGCTCCCCCGGCTATCATCTACTCTATAGTAGAAGACCATGAGTTGGAAACCCCATAGCCTCAATCCTTAAGAGTAATGCATGGGGAATCCCAGCACTATTTGGCCTTAATCCGGTTTCCAACTTTATGGGGTTTGCTGTAGACGTTTTCGAGTTTAGACATACATACTTTTCTGTATGCATGCATGCATGCATAGATACATACATTAATGTACGTGCATACATGTTTGCACACGTACGTGCATGCATACATACAAAGACTTGGACATAGACATAGGCGTAGACACATGTATGTCGCACACTGATACATATCCTTATACATATCCATATATATATATATATATGGATATATATATATATATACATATATATATATATGGTACCCCCCCCATGTGCCTACCCTTTTCCTGTCAGGTAACTCGACTTCGAGCTCAATCAGCCTCCTGGTGTTCAGGGTCTTGGGTTTTTAACGCTTCGTGAGCATCCGTCTCTCTGGCATCATGAGCATCTCATCATACGCGCGAGCGGGTCATTTAAAAATATACTGTCCTTGTCCCGGATGCGAGAAGCAGGCCTAGCACAATTCCTGCAAAATCCAAAAGTCCAAAAATCCAATATTTTCGGGGAGATGGCGGGGCGAAGTTTTGATTTTTGGGTTTTTGGAATTTTGGATTTTTTGATTTTTGGAATCCGTGTGAAATCCAAAAATCCAAAATTCCAAAAATCCATACTTCACTCCGGCATCTCCTCGAAAATATTGGATTTTTGGATTTACGTGGAATTGTGCCTGTTGGCAGATACAATATTGTGACATGTGAAGCGACCGTTGTCTGGCGCCGTTGTCGCGTCGTCCATGTGTATTATAGTCATAAATGTGATTGATGATGAGAAAACCTGTGCGATGAATTAACACATTGTTGTTGATCTCGCTGTTGCTGCTCATTTCGGTTGCCATTACTGTACTTATGTCCATGGAGTATCGTTTCTTACTCTGTCAGCATGCGCGGACTGGCATGAGTGTACGTCCTGCTCATTCCACATTGTGCGTATTGCCTGTTATGTCGTAGTCTTTCAAGCCTCAAGCGACAAAAGCAACCATCATTCCTTCCCTTTCGTCATGTCGTGGGAATCCGGAAACGTTGCTATGAGTGACGTTCGTAACGCCGTCGCGAAGCTGAAGCTGTACAACATCGGTGAGCACCACATTGTCGAGTCCACAGCGGGCCCTCTCACCACCCTCGACCTGCCCTTGCTAGACTTGCCGAACAGCGGGTTCATCAAATGCTTCCTCGATGTGATCATGGATGTGCCGAGCTTTCCCTCAACCGAGATCAAGCAGATTATGCAGAGTCAGTCCTTCATGAGGTTACCAAAACCTTATGGTTTAGCGAAAGACTTGGACGTTCTTTTTCGCATCGACTTGGCCGTAATCCCACAAGACAGCGGAAAGTTCACAGTTATCAAGATCATCAACTTGAAGGACAAGAAGAACACCGTCGAGCAAGTTCGGGAACTGTGTCATCGTAGGCCTTATGCCGTCGATTGGTCCGGAAATGTAATCACCGTCAAGAAGAGCTTGCACTTCCTCTTTGAACTACTAGGTGGTTTTCAGTGTCGGCATCACGTCCTTCGTACAGAAGAAGAGGGAAAACCTGAGCAGGAACGCTCCTTGGAAGAGTGGGACTTTGGGCTCGATTTCATTGAGCAGCAAGGTCCTCGAGAAAATGTCCGCAATCGTCTTCTTCGGTGGGTCACAGTGCAGACAACAACCCGGGACTCCCCCATCTACCGCTGGCCCCAGGCACTGGTGGAGAAGAGTCTTCGTAATCTCAGCCAAGACGGCGTCCTTGCACAGGTACATGAAATGTGGCCTCTGACGTTGTACGACTTAGACACTCGGCTCCTCAAAGCATTGGGAACTATTTTTTCATCTTTGACAGAGAAGGCACTCGGACTTCACGGCACACCCGGAGCGGGCAAGACACCAGTCGCGAGAACCGTTGCTATGGGACTCTCTCGGTTTTGGATCACGAAATTGGGTAAGACGGACGAAATCGTTCCGTCCTTTCGGCAGGCGTCAGAGTTTGACTTCTTCCGTGGTTCCTTGATAGCATACATTTTTTCTTTGTTTTTGGGGTATGGTCGTATCGTTGTCTAACCTTGTCTACATATACGTGTATACTCCACATTAGTGGGTTCGGGGTCAGACGCGGATCTACTGCTCAAACGACTTCGACGTGAAAACGGAGCCACCCTTGGACCAACCTCTTTTGGACATCGAAAAGGGCATCGCTACCTATGTGTCGCACTCTGCGTTTATGAAAATGCTGGAGAATGCGTGGTGCTCCAAGGACTGTAACGACGCCAACATCATGGCTGTTCTGAAGCGCACGCATATCTTTGTCAACACATCCAAATGCCTCCACATCCGACCTGCCAGTGAAACCGAAGGCCCTGTGCTCAGGATTCCCCTAGGCGACAAGATTGACTTCCTTCATGTGGATTCCCGCGAAGTCTATGATTACCATCGTAAGGGTGGGAAAGACTTGCCTCAGGACTTTGATATGAAGGTGAACTGGGAGAGAGACTGGGTTACAAAAGCTATGACAGGCGACGTGAACTTGCCCACACGTGCCACAATCATCCGCCGTGGAGGTCTTTTCCAAAGTGCTCCTTCCACGTCTACTGACTCTACCGTCGAGCAAAACCATCGTCGTGTCAAGGACCTCTTGCACCAAAGCTTCGACGCTGACATCCACACCGCCGCCGCCGTCAGTAACGTCAAAGAGGAAGTGCCCAACAAGCGAGAGCTGGAGACTTCTGCCCGCGATAGGTTCGCTAGCATCTGGGTTGATCCGAGATGTGCTGTTTACTTTGTTTGAGTAGGTAATCAAATTCGCTTAAACCATGTAGACGATACTGATGTTATTGATTGCTTTTGGTTTATTTGTTTCTGAAAACTTTTCTAAATATGCACACTCAGGTAAAACGCGTCGTCTCGCGGCCGACTACGTTGGCAAAGCTATCCTCGTGGATGACTCCCCCAAGGCAGCCAAGGAGCCGGCAATCAAACAAGAACTCGTTTCGGCCTTCTCTCGCTCTTTGTCTTCCAGCAATATCGCCATCAATCTGGTGGACTCTCCCGAAAAACGCCCTCCAACGCTTGCGGCTTCCTCAGATGTGAAGCCAAGTCAAGATGATAATTTGGAAAGGGAGCTTGAAACGTTGATGGAGGCAGAGTTTGCAAACGAGGAAGCCAAAAACAATGATGCTCGTGCTGCGGAGGCTGAGGATTTCATGGACTGCTGCACAGACGACGAGAACTTCATCGACACGCACATGGACCACGCAAACAACGTGAACTGAAGGTTTCACGGTCAAAAACGTGTTTGGTGACAGTACAGTATAGGTCTCACACATTTTGCTCTCGTGTGGACTATGACATGCCTCTCGCAATTTAGTCATGTGAACAGTACACTACTTTAAAACTTCAATACATGCGAAACGAGCTTCTAGACGGCACTGTCTCCTTGACAAGCACAGCTGAGTGATGGCAACTGTCTGTCTCCGCGCGTCTGTGTTCAATACCAAGTTTGTCTGAACGGATCCCCATGTCTGCTTGCGAGAAACATGCTATCTGTGCACATATTAACACGCATTCCCTCTGAGCGCAGGTTTGTGGCTCCTTGTCAAGCTTGTAGATCGCGTCCTTACCCAAAGCCTCGCCAGCATGGGCAAACCCAATGGCAACTTTGTCCCGAAGAAAGGCAAGTTGCGCAAGGTGATGAAGAAACCCGCGGCATCCAAGGACACTACATGGAAATCCATTAAGTATGTCAGGGAGGCGACCGAAGTTACATCACGCGGACAACGTAAAGATCAAATCAAATGGAAGCGAACACTACCCCAGCTACTCAAGGCAGACGACAAAACCATCATCAAGCTGCTCATTGCGGACAAGATCCTACCACGATTGGAAGGAAAAACATGTCTTAGGTGTTCCAACGGAGTACTGTCCAAGTTGTATTCAGACAAGAAGCACAACAACGTCCTGAAGCACAGGTGCAACAACAAACATTGTCAAGCCCGCCTCAATCCTCATCATTTGCACCCGCTTTTCACAGAGGGACAAGGACCGCAGAAGCAGAGCTTGCAGATGCAGTCCGCCGTTCTTCTGTTGAGGCTCCTCAATGTCCCACAATCTGTCATTCACCTCGCCATGGGTACGAACCACAAGGCGGTGGAGGACTTGGAAACTGATTGTTTATAGTATTCATGTTTTCTTAGGTTTTTTACTGTTTTTATTTAAGACGTTAGTTCTTAACTTTACAAGATTTTTAGCATAACGTAAGTTTTTTACAACCGCGTTCATCACTAGTCTCCTCATAAATTTGCTTTGCTCACTTAGGACAAACGACTTTGCAAGCTTCGGAAAGACTTCGTTGAGAAGGAGGAAAAGAACATCGTTTTTGGCAACCAGAAAACGTGGGTGGACGTTGAGGCAGACGAGGCAACGTTCGACAAGAGAGACATCTCTCAAGATGCTGCTTTGAAACATTTGGTCACCAAAAAGAACGAGTCCATCATGTGGGAGCAGTGGGGTGGTGCCATTCAACGTGGCCGCCCTCGTAGTTTGGTGTTGCGAAAGCTAATCCCAAAGCTTACGGTGAAACGAGCACCAGGCCCAGGTGCCATCCGTAAGACAGAATGGAACACCATTGCGAACGAACTCCTCCTGGACCGCAAAGTGATCCTTCATACGGACTCAGCGAAAAGTTACAAAGCCAAAGTTCGGGGAGTTTTGCACGACAAAGTCGTACACTGCAAAAAACGGGTGAAGGTGAACGGCAAGTTCAGGTGGTTGAACCCCAAGTAGGTCGGCATCGTGACCCACAAGATCCCTGGTACTGAGAAGAAGCTGAAAGTGAAGTCAGGGACTCAAATCATCGATAGGGTTTGGCGGTTTCTGAAGGATCGTATCGCCATGAACCAACACTGCAAAGCAGGCTCGTCGTTGTTACGTGCCAAGCTCCGCTCGGCGCAGTATGAGTATTGGTTCAAGAACCAAGACCTCTGGCTCGCCTGCGGAGACTTGTGCACAGAGGTCCTGGACAAATTTTACAAGTAAAGACTCACTGTAGAGCGTCCTATGCCATCACAGACCTGCGTCGCGACATCGCTTGAAAATGTTGGCTTTTGACAGTGCCGTCGTTTCTTTATGTTTTATATCTCTTATATTTCGTGAACAACAAAGGTGTTAATGATGAAAATGATGGTGGTGATGCTGGTGATGGCGACGATGCGGATTATTGATGTTGCTGTGTTTTTTAACAAGACTATTCTTATAGCTTACGTCAGCATGCATGCTTTTGTTGTCGCTCTGTGTATGCATGTTTTCTCATTCAAGCACATATCTCAATTCATCGCTTCTTTGCAGTTTTCCGGCACAAGACTCTTTTCCTTGTCTCCACAGCCATGTCTGCGCCTTTCGTCCGCAAGCTGCCCATGGATGTCGCAGCACTCATCTTCCAATTTGGCGAGCGGTTATTGGGGCCGATCCCATCCGCACCCACTCAGTGGGAAGTGCGCGTTGGTACCCTCCCGGAAAAAACACAGACATGGTAGGCGCATGGGGGGGGGTAGCATATATATATATATATATATATATTTACGTATAGCTTTGTCCGTTCATTTATGTGTCATTTCTTTAGGCTCGTATTTAAACTCACGTTTAGATCTAGATACATATCAAGATACATATGTATATGTATATATATATATATACAGATAGATACACACGCATATACATCGACATATACATATACATTTGTTAGGTGTGTATATATATATACACATGTAAACATATATGTATATATATATATTTATATTTATATATATATATATATATGTAATAACTATAATATATATATATATATATATATATGTATATACTTCTATAAGCCCCCTAAGACCAAAAGCGCCCAAGCTCTTCCGCCTCTTTGGCAGAGGCCCCGGGGAGACTCTGGGGATGGCAGAGCACGAGCAGCTCGGCCCAAAATGATTGGTTTGTAAAGTTTAGGCTTCAGGGGTTTAGGGTTTTGGGGTTGAGGGTTAAGGGTTTGGGGTTTCGGGGTTGAGGATTTGGGGTTTAGGGGTTTAGGGTCAAGGGTTAGATTTATGCATCTATATATATATATAACATATATGTATATAACATATATGTATATATTTGTACTTATGCATACATACATACATACATACATATTTATATATATATATATATATATATATAGGGATTACGGTTTTGGCCTTGTTTATTGGGGTTACAGTTTAGTTTTCATATATAGGGATTGGGTTTTGGGCTTACATAATGGGATGATTATGTGTTTAAGGTTCATAATGGTTCGTGTATAGGGTTTAGAGTTTAGGGTTTTGGGTTGTATAATGGGGTGACTATAAAGGGTTCTAAGTGTTTGTAGCGCTTGGGTATGTCGTTTGACCGGGTCTTAAAAGGCTTCAGACGGGTTTTGCGTTCCGACTGTTGCCTGCTATTTGCATTGCGTCAAATCACCGCACCCTAGACCCGACGGGGTTTAGGGTTTAGGCTTTAGGAACCTTAAATTACTAAACCCTAAACCCCTAAACCCTAGGCCCCGAACCCTTGTAGATTGTCGATCCCTTATGGATCCCTGAAAAGGACCCTTATAGGAGCCCTGAATCCTAAACCGCGTGTTGTACTGCATGGTTCTTTCATGCCCTAAACCCTAAGCGTACCCTGAACCCTACAAAGGAACCCTTAGAAGACGCCCTTGAAAAGGACCCTTTCAGCAACCCTGCATGGTAACCCTTGCTAGATGCCCGAAAACCCTTCTCATTTGCATCAAGGCCCCTACAGCACCATCTGAATTTTAATACAAAGTCAATAGAACCCTGCACAACAGCTCAGGGTTATCAACTCTACCTTCCCAAACTAAGACGGAACCGGAAAATGGACCTTATACAAAAAGGCAGCAACCGATCAACCCCACGCCCAAACCCTAAGAGCCTTGAACCCCGAATCACCCAACTTAGGGTTTAGGGTTTGGGGTTTAGGGTTTAGGAGAGGCCAAGAGCTCGACAGGGCTTTGTGGCCTTGCACCCAGAAGTGTTTTGTATAGCCCTCAAGCATGCTCCCTGATCTCTTAAGACATCCTGACCCCTAACTGGGTGGTTGTCAAAATTATGGTTCCTTCTTGGGTCCCGATTATAAAAAGGGACCATAATTTTGACAACTACCCAGTAACTATTGAAAACGATCCCCCAAACAGTACACCCTTAACGAACCGTGTGGAAAGCCTTAGGGTTGTTCACCTTGAAAGAGCTCTTTACGGAACCCTTTACCAAGGCCCCCGCCCCGCCTCGGTGCGCTCAGGTATTTGGAGGATGGCCTGCCGCTGGAAGCTGGCACCGCATTTGAGGGGATGTTTGGATCTATAGGTGTCGTCGGGGTTTAGGATTACTTATGTACTTTGTTCGAGTGGTTGTCGTAATGGTTTTCGATGGGTTTGATAGTGATTTTATCAGGTGCAATTTAGGGTTTTATAGCGTTCTCCGCAAGGATATTGGGAGGGGTTTGATGCCCTAAGCGCGAGGGCCCACAACCTACTGTTCCGGAGAACTTGGGACGTGCAGGACTCGACACCATGAATGTTCCTGTAGCCAGTACTGCTGAGCTCCAAAAGACCATGTCAGCATTCTGGTCCAATGGGAAGTCCACATGGGCTTGCAAAGCCAATGCTCTTCCAACGGACTGATCCGCTTTCCTATATGCCCGACTTGAATTCAGGTGCCCATAACTCTACTGATAACCCCCATGCAGTTCAGGCGTTCATATGAAACTGCCTAAAAACTTATCCACGAGCCTTACAGTTTCAGCGCCTTACAAAGCCCTCTAAAGCCCTCACGAAACCCTTCTACATAGTCCCATAGAATCCCATAGCACATCCGATACAACCCGTGCAAGCCCGCTATGAGATTCCACGTAGTCTCATCAAAACTGACCGGTAACGAACTATACCTAAACCCTAAACCCTAAAACCCTAAACCAAACAAAACCCTGATCCCCAGCCCTAAGCCTTACGCGCCCTAAACCTTCAAGCCCTACACCCAAATCTGAACCCTATAAACCTTGTCGTGTGTTGATAAGGTTTAGTTGCGTTCTAGAATACTTGGTTTTGAAGAGTGTTTCAATCGAGTTTTGTAGCGGTTAATTAAGTTGCTTTCGATTGCGGGATCTGACTGAAGGTGTTGGATTCTTCGTGCTTGCTAATGGGGTTTCCTACGGTGCTACAAGGGTCCGAAAAGGGTTACTGTCACGAGGTTGCAGAAAATCGAACCTATTTCAAGGTTTGGCGAGAGTTGGGCATTCGTTTGTGAAGGTGATCTAGGCCTGAATGCAGATCCCTTTCATATAAGCCCGCTTCTAAAAAGGCTTGCGCTTGCTTATGTACGTTGTGGCAGTTGTTTGCGTTTGCCGTTTGTTTTATGGGATTCTCTTAAAAGAAAGATTCTTCCTTACGTTCTTTGGAGAATAAGGACGGCTTCCTTTGCAGGTCAAAATGTTGCGATGCTCATGGCCTCCCTATGATTCAGGGACGAGGGTCTCCCGACGGTGGTTTGCTAATCGGGGGTTTGCATTAAATCCGAGGTCCCCGACGCCTCAAACGTACACCCCTGGGACATTCAGTTACAATCAACGACAGCACCAACAAGAACCTACTGTATACTCTGAACCCCAACCCTTGCACCCCACTAGACCCTGAACCCTAGAAACCCTGAGCCCTAAACGCTATAACCCCAAAACAGCTTCGATCCGCCGACCCCTTTTTACCTGTGTTTGGGCCAAGGACTTTCTCTTCCGTGCCTCGGCTGCAGCGTCCTGTTAAGGATAGGAGTTTGGAGTTTAGGGTGTGGGTATTGCTACAAAGGGCTTTGGGTTTGGCTTCCGGGTTCCGCGAAACGTAATCCCTGCACCGTGGAAGTTGGGTGGCTTAAGATATGTGTTTTTGTGGTGGCCTGAATACATACCAATAGGGTCCTTCTTACATTGAACGAAAACTGTACCCCCAAACCCCATCTAATTATTAGGGCCCCTATACTAGGCGTGCGGGTCCAACATCGGGGCTATACAGGTTGCATATTCAGCTGGGGTGTGGGGCTAGGGCCTCAATTTCTAATCTTGTTTGAAGGAGTTCATCGTACCGCTTTCCTAAGCCCTAAACCCTATATGGAAAAATCCGAAAATAGGGGACCGTAATATGGTACCCTAAATAGTAGGATCCTTAGTATAAGGACCCCAAATTAAGGTACCCCCAATTTTCGGAAACTCCCATATACCAGAATTTTGTCGCTCCAACAGTCAGATTCTATCGCCGGCAGCTACGTGTGCAGCTGACTGAAAGGGAGCATCGATCCCAACCCACATTTTAGTCCTTGAAAGCTTTGTTGGTTAGGCTTGAGGATGTGAGGTTTCGGAGGTTTCAGGGTGTAGAAAAGCTCCACAAACGACATCATCGAAAGCCTGGCAAAAAATCGATAAATGCACGAAAGCACCGGGGCAAAGTCTAGCATAGGGGCCTAAATAATTACCAACACTATTCTGGAGGTTCCTTTTTATAACTATACTATAGTGGGCCCCAGAAACCCGATTCTAATTATTAAGGCCCCTATAGTAATGCTTAACGCCCAGAGCTGGGTGTGACTCGAGATTGAAGTTCCCTTTGACACACCTGATGCAAAGTTTCGTTGCTTGGAGGTTCATGGGACTTAGCAAGTACAGTTATAGGTACCTTAACTGGGGTTATAAGTAACTATCAGTGTAGCTACCCTAAATATATCCCCAGTTACAAAGTCCCATGAACCTCTAAGTGTACCGTTATTTATCGCGATACATGACGGCTCTTCTATATCAAGGTCCCTATTCCAAGTAGCAGGGCCCCTATACCAAGCCTTTGATTACAGTGGCCCTTAAAGTATACTTGGAGGGTCGGGGGACTTAGTAAGGGGGGACTTAGTAAGTAGGTAGTAAGTAGACTTATAAGTACCCTAAAAGGGACCCTAATTGGGGTTATGGTACTTATAAGTCCCCAAAAATAACCAGTTACTAAGTCCCCCGACCCTCCAAGTATCTTGTGACAGAGACCCCATTCTAACTACTGCTGCCCCTACGCTAAACCATTAAAGTAACGTTGGGGAAGTTCCCACTATAGAAACCCCATTCTTATGGCCCCTAGACCATAAATAGTTTACCCCGAAAGCCCTATTCTGATTTCTCAAGCCTTGTAAAGGGAACCCTTAAAGGAATCCCATTCTAGCTCTCAAAGGCTCCTCCTTAAACAATGCTCTTCACTGGCAGAAGCAAAGCTTGAGGCTGCAACCACTGCATTGCGTTGATTGGGCAGGCGCCGGGCTACTCCAGAGATGTAGGGATTAAAGGTTTAGGGCCACATGTGTAAGGTTTAGAGATTCTCGTTGTAGACCCAGAGGGTTTATTGCCATACGGGTTTCATAAGGACTCCAGAAGACTTCTACGAAGGCTTTTCCGGGCTCAAGGTTTAGGGCTCCTTTCCCAGACCCCTAAAAGGATCCCAAAAGCAGATCTCTTAAGGGAGCTCCTCTAAGGTACCTGTTGGTAGGAAGTTTTGGGCTAAACTGTGTTCTTGTGAAGGAAGTTTCCTTATTGTGCCAGCTTAAAATAAGTTCCTGAATAAGAACCCAGATTCAACAGACGGAGCAGAACAAGCGCATCATTATATACGACGATCTACAATGTATATTTACATGTAGTAGTAGTAGTAGTAGTAGTAGTAGTAGTAGTAGTAGTAGTAGTAGTAGTAGTAGTAGCAATAGTAGTAGTAGTAGTAGTAGTAGTAGTAGCAGTAGTAGTAGTAATAGTAGTAGTAGTAGTAGTAGTAGTAGTAGTAGTAGTAGTAGTAGTAGTAGTAGTAGGAGTAGGAGTAGGAGTAGGAGTAGGAGCAGGAGCAGGAGCAGGAGCAGGAGCAGGAGCAGTAGTAGTAGTAGTAGTAGTAGTAGTAGTAGTAGTAGTAGTAGCAGTAGCAGTAGCAGTAGTAGTAACGATCTACAAACAACTGCAGTGTATGTCAGTTTTCCTGGAGCCATGTGGAAGACCGGCGGTTTGGAGGAAGGCCTCTATCCAATACTGAAAGGATCACGGGACTTAGTAACTAGGGTTATAATTAAGGTAACTACACTTATATCTACTTATGATCCCAATTAGGGTATTGATAACTGTACTTGCTAAGTCCCAGGATCCTCCAAGTAGTGCCTGTCAAACGAACATGGCATCTCTAAACCTTACGCCTAAAGTCCTAAACCCTAAACCCCATAGATCCCTTATAGCTTCCTTGAAGGAGCCCTATAAAGGATCCCTTCAAGGAGCCCTGAAAGGAACTCTAAACCTTACGCCTAAAGCCTAAACCCTAAACCCCATGCGGAGGTCGAGGTGCCTGTGCCCAGGAGCCAGGAGAGCACCAACGAGGAGATCTGCGCCCTGGAACTGGATGACCTTCTGGCGCGGCTCGACGCCATGCAGGCTGGCGTTGCGGGCGTTCCTGCGTGGCGCCAAGGTCGACCCAGCCGGGAGCGGCGCCCCCGCGGCTCGGCCAGCCGCTCGCCGAGCGGCAGCGTCCTCGCAAGAAGCAGGCGCGGGCGCGGACGCTACAGACCTGATCTTGCTGGCATCTTTTCAAGAAGCCGTTGAGAGCAGACTCTCAACGAGGAGATCTGCGCCCTGGAACTGGATGACCTTCTGGCGCGGCTCGACGCCATGCAGGCTGCCGTTAACTGCGGGCGTTCCTGCGTGGCGCCAAGGCCGACCCAGCCGGGAGCGGCGCCCCCGCGGCTCGGCCAGCCGCTCGCCGAGCGGCAGCGTCCGCGCAAGAAGCAGGCGCGGGCGCGGACGCTACAGACCTGATCTTGCTGGCATCTTTTCAAGAAGCCGTTGAGAGCAGACTCTCAACGAGGAGATCTGCTCCCCGGAACTGGATGACCTTCTGGCGCGGCTCGACGCCATGCAGGCTGCCGTTAACTGCGGGCGTTCCGGCGTGGCGCCAAGGCCGACCCAGCCGGGAGCGGCGCCCCCGCGGCTCGGCCAGCCGCTCGCCGAGCGGCAGCGTCCGCGCAAGAAGCAGGCGCGGGCGCGGACGCTACAGACCTGATCTTGCTAGCATCTTTTCAAGAAGCCGTTGAGAGCAGACTCTCAACGAGGAGATCTGCGCCCTGGAACTGGATGACCTTCTGGCGTGGCTCGACGCCATGCAGGCTGGCGTTGCGGGCGTTCCTGCGTGGCGCCAAGGCCGACCCAGCCGGGAGCGGTGCCCCTGCGGCTCGGCCAGCCGCTCGCCGAGCGGCAGCGTCCGCGCAAGAAGCAGGCGCGGGCGCGGACGCTACAGACCTGATCTTGCTGGCATCTTTTCAAGAAGCCGCTGAGAGCAGACTCTCAACGAGGAGATCTGCGCCCTGGAACTGGATGACCTTCTGGCGCGGCTCGACGACATGCAGGCTGCCGTTGCGGGCGTTCCTGCGTGGCGCCAAGGCCGACCCAGCCGGGAGCGGCGCCCCTGCGGCTCGGCCAGCCGCTCGCCGAGCGGCAGCGTCCGCGCAAGAAGCAGGCGCGGGCGCGGACGCTACAGACCTGATCTTGCTGGCATCCTTTCAAGAAGCCGTTGAGAGCAGACTCTCACAACTTTTGGGTAGGGCTGATCTTGAAGAGGCGCTCAGACCACATGAGGTTGCTGGAGGGATTGCCACGACGGAGGAGCTGGGTTTCTACGGTGTCTCAAGCGGAGCTGCCTCCTCCTCGGATCACCGGGTCAATGTGGTTCCGGCGGCTCGCAGGCGTAGGAATTCCATTTCAAGATCCCGTTCGGCATCGCACTCACCCCGTCGAGTTGAGCGTCCGCGACCAAGACAGTTCTGAACTGGGTGAGCTTGGTGATGAGGATGAGAGTGAAAGCAGTGGTGGGGCGATTTCGATGAACTCGGAATTTGCATACAACTCAGACGGGGAACCTGCGGCTGTTTCTCCTCGACACGAAGCGAAAAAAGCCTCAGCAAGCAGTTCGAACACCTCAGCTGCCATTGGTGCCGGCTTTCGCAATAACTGCACATGAAGCACGAGGACAAACGATTGCAGAAGGCGTCATTGCGGATCTTGTGCTTGCGACGTGCAGCAGCATACTCACAGCCTAAGTGGCCTTGACGCGTGTTACAGATCGTTTTCGGCTGCCCATTCTACGCGCATTCGAAGCGGCAACTTCGCAGCGGGAGGGGCTCCAAATCTGCGGGCTCCACAGAGGCATCCTAAGCAGGTTAAACATCCTCTAGAAAAAACCAAAAAACCCACCAAGCCCTCATAAACCTGTTCAGAACACTTATATGACCCTGGCACGTTGCGTCAAACCGGAATCCTTTGCTTAAAGTCCTGCCTGCTCCGGTTTTGCATTAGTCGCAGTATTCCCAGGGGTTCAGTGGTTAGAGATTAAGGTTCCTAGGGGCACCTGGCTATAATCATGGTGCAACACACCCCCTCATGTCAAGCCCTCATTCTGCTGATGGAAGCCCCCAAACTGAACCCTTATAATAGCCTTGTATACTAATCCTTGTAGAAACCTCGAAAAGTACCCTTCAAAGGAACCCTATTCTAACTTTTGAGGACAATCCAGTTTACATGGGCCACGACCGCAGTGGGGGCCTTGGCCGAGAAGAAGAATCCATGGCTTCTCCTGGTGTCGCTGGCGTGAAGTAATGACTTCGGGCTTAAGGGGTTTAGGGGGTTCCCTTTACAGGGATCTATGAGGGTTCCTTTGAAAACTTTAGGTTTTAGGGGTTTAGGGTTTAGGGTCTAGGGATCTCAGTAAACCCCATAAAGTTGGAAACCGGAGTAAGGCCAAATAGTGCTGGGATTCCATGTACATTACTCTTAAGGGTGGAGGCTATGAGGTTTTAAATGGATAGATCCCAAAACTCTACTTGACAAAAGCCCTTGTATTGAGGGATGGAGGATGTCTTACTTACTTGCCGTTGGTTAGCAGGGAATGGAAGAATGGTAGTAATTTATCTAGTTTCAAGAGTAATGCAGGCTATGGTTTCTGTTTATGCTACACGCGGAGGTGCTATGTGTTGGTGCGGCTTGGTGGTGCGTAGGGTGCGGCTTGGTGGTGCGTATGGGGCGCTGTGTTGGTACGTATGGGGCGGATTAGTGGTACATATGGTGCGGCTTGGTGGTTAGTATGGGGCGCTGTGTTGGTACGTATGGTGCGGCTTGGTGGTACATATGGGGCGGCTTGTCCATATGAGAGACCGTACCGATTGTACCGTACTGTACCGACTGTACCGTACCGCCCGCACCGATGTACCGTACCCTAATTAGCAGAGCATCTCCAAAGGTTAGCAAAGACTGTACCGTACCGCCCGCACCGATGTACCGTACCCAAATTAGCAGAGCATCTCCAAGGATTAGCAAAGCATTGCTTTGTTAATCCTTGGAGATGCTCTGCTAATTTGAGTACGGTACATCGGTGCGGGCGGTACGGTACAGTCGGTGCAGTCGGTACGGTACCGTCAGTACGGTCTCCCATATGTACAGTACTATGCTCCTTGTGTTCCGTACCAGGCGTCCCATATGTACCGTACCATGCGTCCCATATGTACCGTACTATGCTCCTTGTGTTCCGTACCATGCGTCCGATATGTACCGTACCATGCGTCCCTTATGCCCCGAGCGTTCGCCCCATACGTCCCGTACCATACGCACTCACCCGGAACTAGCCGATAGAGCATTACTCTTGAAACTAGCCAAGTAGTAATAGTAGTTAAAATTTTACCCCATTCCTCCATTCCCTACTAACCAAAGGTAAGATTAGCACAATTGGAGGGGGTTTCTTAGGGTTTCAGGATGGCTGGTGTGGGGCCTTCAGAATGTTTGGATACCTTACACTAAGCCCCTTCATTAACCCTGAATAAGCTACTTTTTTAGGGTTCCTGATTATGATTGCATTGTAGAAGTCCTTAAAAAGCTAGGTTATTCCGGGTTAAGGTTAAAGTTGGAAACCGGAGTAAGGCCAAATAGTGCTGCGATTCCTTATACATTACTTAGGATTCAGGCTAGTGGGTTTCCTACTTTTGGGCTTCTACTGTCATTGGGGATCCGTACAATGGAGATCCTGAGTTCGGTGCAATGCCCAAGCTATGCAGTACTGCCGCGAGTCGAAGACGTTCGTCGAGACTCTCAAGAAAGCGGATGAGCTTCTCCTGGCCGCAGACGACTCCCATTTCTTTTAAAAACTCCCATGTCGCAAGTCCTGCCGCGGATCCACAAGCAGGAAGGCTTTTCTTGTTCCTGGACGGTGCGCTGTAAAGCTAATCCAGCTTCAGGTTGTTTCCTTGCCTTCCGCTTTTCTTGGAGCAGTTCCATTGGGCCAATACGTGAGTTTGCCGTTGTCACTTGTACAACAGGGGCTAGTCATGGCGCAACGTGTGGGCACTTTTGTGCTGAGACACAGCGGCGTGAAAGGATTTTTGGAGAACTGTTTCAACCTTTCCGCCTCTTCCACGAGAACTCTTCTTCGGCATGCTGAGGAAAAGTTCAAAACACCAAAAGACCTTACGGTACTGGAGCTGCACCTCTGTGAAGCGTAATGTACGCTACAGGGGTCGGAACAGTCGGAACATTTTGTAGCCGCATTCCCCTACTATACTATAACGTACCCCAAAACCCTAAACCCTACATGCCAACTCGTTGAATTAGTAGCAGCATTCCCTTGCACTCCCTTTTGACTTTCAGATCTATGCCATAGCATACCCCAAAAGTCTATTTGTTGAAGCAGTTGTCTTTCACAGGGCATACCAAACAACCTTTCTAGATCCCTTTAAGGGATCTTAAAAAAAGGCCCCACTTTAGAGACCTGCCCGCATGCCGCATCTTATTCCCTAAACCCTAAACCCCCAAACCCTAACCTAAGACCCGAAAACCCCCTAAACCCCTAAACACCTGGACCCGAAAAATATTCGCATGTGTATAAGGTAATCCGAAGCGGTGTGTAATGCTGTTTGTTCCCAAATAAACCTATAAAAACCCTACACTCCGAGGCTACTGCAGCCCACAATGCCGCCGCCGGGGCCGGTCGACTCTCTATCGGAACCTCCGGTCCATCCAGCCGGGAGACCCTGGTGGGGCCGAAAAAGGGGCCTTAACAGAATAGGGCTCTTTTTAATGTAATACAATACAGTATAGTAATATGATATGGTATGACAGAGCCGGGAGACCCTGGTGGGGCCGAAGAAAACAGGGGCCTTAAGAGAAGAGGGGCTTCTTTAATTAAGGGGTCCTTTAAAGTTAGGGTTTGGGGTTTTGGGTTTAAAGAGGTCTAGATGGCCTCTTGCCGAAAAAAGGCGCCTTAAGAGAATAGGGTTCTTTTCATCAGGGGCCCAAAAAGCACGTAAGCGTAAGCATGTTTGGGGATATCCCTACCTTAGTGTGCTTCATTATAAGGTGGTTTATGTGGGATTTCCCTATCCTAACTGTTGCTTATGTGCCCTGTTGGGACCCTATTTAAGGGTTAATTTTAAAGGGGTCCAGATGGGCTATAAAGCATAGCATAATGTAGTACAATACAGTATAGTATGATATAGTATGACAGAGCCTGTGGGGCCGACGAAAAGGGTGCCTAAACAAGACACAACAGGGTTCCTTTAAAAGGGTTCTATGAGGAGCCTATAGCAGGGTTCCTTGAAAGGGTTCTATAAGGGGTCTGTATAACTGAATACCAATACTGGTTTGCGGCTTCCCTATTCTAAGTATAGTATAATGGGCCCCACAACCCTATTCTAATTATAGGAGGGGTTCAGAAGTCAGCCAGGATATGATATAGCATATAGTAGAGTATGATACAATATAGTATAATATAGCATCGTAGGACACAATATAACATAATAGAACATGATATAATTGGATAGGTCTTGGTGTAAACCGTCCGGGGTTTTGGAAGGACATTTGTGAGCGGCCGCTGAAATTGCGAGCACTTCTTGCTCTCACTGACCACTTTTCCTTGTTGCCGCGGTTTAGGGTTAGGGGAAAAATCTATCATGACCAGCCTTGCTCTGACCACAGCTAAGATAAATACTCCTAGAGACTGCCCCCGCCCCCCCGCTACAGCCTGCCAGTACTTACGATTGCTGATCTATTGAGGGGATATCGCTTGTTAGTGCTTGCTGCTTGCCTACGTATTTGCTTCATTGCTTTCCTCGCTTGCCTGCCTGCTTGCTTGCTCGGACATTAATTACTGTACAGGCTACTACTTAGACGAATGCTTCGAGTTGTTGCTGCTGCTGCTGCCACCGCTGCTACAACTCAACTTTATTCCCCTCTTCGCCACGGCCTTCCGAGCACTACAGCGAGATGCTTGCTTTGTAGCTGTGCTCATTTAGGTGTGCCTGTGCGTACGAACATGCAAACTGTATTCGTGCATGGGCATTGGCAGCACTTGCAGGCATATTGGGCTTTTTGCGGGACCGTGTGGCACGCGTATGCATGCCCCTGCTTCTGGTTCGCTCTTCTGGTTGTTATTTCTTGCTCAAGATCGTGCACACGAACTGCAAAAATTCCCAACACTGCTCTCCTGCAACAGTTGCTCCCGCTTGTGAAAATCAATACTACAAACCCGGTTTATGTTCCTTTATAACGAGTCATCAAGAGCTTATACTCCCTGACAAAAACTTGCACAAGCTCTAAATTCCGCAGTTCAACGAGCCTATACTAATTTTCAATTCCACTATCATAAACCCAAACCTTAAGCCCTAAACCTTAATCCCTAAACACGACTCCCTAAACCCCAAACCCTAACTCCCGAAGGCGTTTATTAGAAGCTTGAAGAAGTGCCTATACCATTCTTGCAAGTTCCCGATTTCAAGCATACGATAATATAACCCAAAGCACTGTTCTAATTATCAAGACCCCTAGGACCTGGAGTAGGCCCTTATCCCCTTTTTTGAGGGTTCGGGTTCCCTTATAAGCCCCTTTAAACCAAAAAGGGTACCCTTTTTATTCCTAGGTTACTCTTGGGTCTAGACCCCGATCTTACGCTCTGAAATTCACCTGAGCCCTGGGATTAGGGTTGGGCTTCGAGCTGAGGTTAAAGCTTGAAAGCTTGGGGTTTGGGGGGTTATCTCAGGGCTCTATACCTTGCCACAAAAAAACTGGTAGAACCTGTGTGAAAAAAACCCTATAAGCCCACAACCACAGCATCTTCTACATAATAAAGCCTTCAAACCCGAAGCCGTAAACCCCTCACTCCGCCTGAGTCCCAAGCCCTAAACCCTTAACGCTACGGCACTCAATAAACAGAACCCCAAGCCCAAAACCCTGTAGAACCCTTAAAGGAACCCTTAAGGATCCCTTAACGCAACCCTTATAGATCCCCTCCTAGGAACCCTAAGCCCTAAACCCTACTTAAAGGATCATGGAACTTTGTAATTGGGGTTATAAAACCATATGTATAATTACTTATAACCCCAATTGAGGTACTTATAACCTTACTTACTAAGTCCCATGAGCCTCCAAGTAGACCCTAAACCCTACATGGAAGTAGGTTATATTTAGAGTTATAAGTACCCTAAATGGAGTTACCCCAATTATAGCCTTACTTATAAACCGACTTGCTAAGTCCCCTGTCCCCTCCAAGTAGGCCCCAAACCCTATCCTGCCAGGTTGGATAGCATTTGCGAAGCGCGGCGGCCGATGTCGGAGAGCGGCACAAGTGGGCTGAGCACCGCCCGCTGCTCAGTCGGCCTTTCAGGTCTTAAAGTTGGGGTTTAGATTCTTCAAGGGATCTTTAAGGGATCTATAGAGTTTATGGTTTAGGATAGAGGCCTGGATAGTTACCTATACCGTTGCAGGCGGCTCCTTATTATAATTATGGTTTAATGGGCCCGAAACCCTATCCTACTTGTTAAGGCCCCTACATTAACACTGCTGGTGGTGGTGGTGGTGATAAAATTGTCGTGGGTTCTTGTTGTGATTTGCTCCTCGACGTGGCTGTTGCGGCAGCTGTTGCGGTGGTCGCTGGCGGTAATCGTGTGCAGCTCATTGTGGTTATTGCGTGGGCCCGAATATGAGGATGGAATATTTAGGGGTATCCCATTATGGTTCCTAGTACAGGGATGTTATAATATACCCCTACTCCCAAACTCTAATGGTCAACGCCTCCATATGCATTTCTTCTTCGAAGGGCTGGTAGTGGCTGAGACGCTTTCCGGATCAATGTGCGACGTATCACCTAGGGGCCAAAAGGTAGGATGAACGGGGTTGGCGTAATCCCAAATAAGAGTCCTTATATAAGGGCGCCTTAATCCTACCTAACTTGTTGAGGCCTCCAAATCATGACACGCACACATGATTGTGGCGGTGTTGCAGGTTCTGCCCACACAAAAGTGCGGAAAACACAGATAACCGCCGAGCATGCAACCTGTAAGACTGTAAGTCTAAAATCCGAAACCCTGAACATGTCTTCCCCCACCCCGCTCCCTCCACGCCCCAACCCTGCCAACGACAGCAAGACTGGCAACAACAGCAGCATCAGCAACAACAAGCGACAACAAGGACGACGACGACAACACGCAACAACAACAGCAATCAACCACATCCACAAACACAACAACCATAGCAGCACCAAGACCAACGACGGTGTTTCAGGCGGAACCGCCACCAACCAACCAAGCAACACGAATCCTGCCCCGGCCGGGGTGGGGGGCCTTGAGGGGTTGAAACCCCCATGGAGTGCCTCAGAACTTGTCCAGAAATCTTGGCGGTTCCGCTGAGAGAAAAAACTCAAGCAACGCACCACTATGGGCTATTAGACCTTAAGGGTACCTTAATCAACCCTTAATAGGATCCTAATAAGGATCTTTAGGGTCTAATAGCCCATAGTGGCATGTATCCGAGTTGAGAGTCCCAAAGGGCGAAGGGCTCCGTTAAAGGGTTCTCTAAACTTACCGTTGGTTAGAGGGAATGGAGGAATGGGGTATAGTTATAACTACTATTACTACCATTCTTCCATTCCCTACTGACCAACGGTAATTAAAGGGATCTAAGGGAATAAGAATTTATTTTAATCATATCAGGAATCCTGTTATAAGCTAGGGTATATTCTTAAGGGATACTGGAGTCTCTGGGTGGCTTCTGCCAGCAGGTGCAAAGGAGCGTTCCAAATACCAAAATCTGGTTATTGTGGAGTTTTTTGCAGGGGCTTCCGGGGCCCCGTAGGGGATTACGGGGCCGTAATAATTATAATAGGATTTTGGGGCCAGTTGAACTATAGTTGTACACCAAAATAGTTGGTGGTTGTTGAGGCCCCTATCCTCCTTGTAGTATAATAATAACCCTTACAATAATCACCTTTCAGAAACCCGATAGTGTATTCTTGAGGCCCCGATTTTAAGTGATTGTTGGGGCTTTGTATGGGGATTCTGCTCTGGGGCTTCGAAAGGGTTCGTTGAATTGAGGGGTTTCGTATGTACTTAGGGGTGTCTAGAAATTCGTTTTAATCTCTGGTTCCTTAGATCCTTAAGAAACGGCTAAAATTATGATTTTTGCTCGTCGAAGTTTAGTATAGTTTAGGGCTTCGGGATCAGGAGCGATAGCTCCGATGGTTGCATAGTTACAGTATACTCTGCGCGAAATCATCCGTGATGGCCTTTCTGGCTTCATAGCTACAGCAGAGTAGGCCCTTATTCCCTTTTTTTGGATTTAGGTTCCCTTTTAACCCCTTTAATTAAACCAAAAAGGGCACCCGTTTTATTCCTAGGTCACTCTTAGGTCCAATTGTCGTTTAGGGTTTCGGGTTCACGGTTTCGGGTCTAGGTTTCAAAGACAGATTAGGTGCTTCTTCATAACATGCGTACTGGCACTGAGATTTCGTTTCCTTTCTGTTACAGTTTTACAGACATGCACGCATGCGTGCGTGCATGCATGCGTGAATGCATCGCTTGTCAAACGCGGTTTTCCGGTTGGGATTGTGCTGCAACGAGACAGTCCAGCTGCCAAGCTTGACGAGGAACGGACGTTTGGCAAAACCTGATGAAAACCCTACATCCACACCCCGAGCCGAATGATAAGCGGCTCCAGCCTCACCCAAAACACAGACAGACAGACAGACAGACAGCCAGGCAGGCAGACAGAGACAGACAGACAGACATACATGCATACGCGCACACACTCGCACCAGCCCTTAGCAAATAGGCGGCCCTCCACCGCACAGTGTAAAACATGTCGATTTCTGTGGAAGTTGGCCTGCTGAGCGGCAAGTCAGTCACTGTGACTTCCAGTTCTGAGGAAAAGGTGAAAGCTTTGAAGCTTCGCGCACAGGCTGCGCTTGGAGTCGGAACAGGGCGGCTGCTGCATTCATCTGGCAGCATCTTGGATGATTGTGCCAGGATCGCAGATACCAGGTTGCAACATGGTGATTTGCTGACCTTGCAAATATACAGAGCGGTGCAACTTGCCGCTACCGTTTCTTGTTTTGCTGCCCTTCTGGGCGACGGATCCGTCGTAACCTGGGGTGGGACCTGGGGTGGGGCGGGCTCTGCTGGTGACAGTCGTGCTGTGCAGGATCAGCTGAAGAGTGTGCAGCAGATCCAAGCCACGAGCACCGCGTTTGCAGCTATTGTTTGCGACGGATCCGTTGTGACCTGGGGTGCTGCTGGCAGTGGTGGTGACAGTAGTGCCGTGCAGGATCAACTGAGGAATGTGCAGCAGATCCAAGCATCTGATGGCGCGTTTGCTGCAATTCTTGCTGATGGATCCGTCGCCATCTGACGGTGGTGGTGACAGTAGTGCTGTGAATCATCAGCTCAAGAATGTGAGACAGATCCAAGCCACGAACACTGCGTTTGCAGCTATTCTTGGCGACGGATCCGTAGTAACCTGGGGTTCGCCTGCCGGTGGTAGTGCTGTCCAGGATCAGCTGAAGAATGTGCAGCAGATCCGAGCAAACAGCACCGCGTTTGCAGCTATTCTTGGCTCTGGATGCGTCGTAACCTGGGGTGTAGCTCTCTTTGGTAGTGACAGCAGTGCTGTGCAGGATCAGCCGAAGAACGTGCAGCAGATCCAAGCCACTCAATGCGCTTTTGTGCCATTCTGGCTGATGGATCCGTCGTAACCTGGGGTCTTGCTGGCTTTGGTGGTGACAGTACTGCTGTGCAGCATGAGCTGAAAAACGCTCTGCAGATTCAAGCCTCTGAACGTGCTTTCGCAGCCGTTCTTGGTGATGGATCTGTCGTGACCTGGGGTGGCGCTGGCTATGGTGGTGACAGTAGTGCTGTGCAGGTTCAGCTGAAGTGCCAGATCTTTGCATATTAATACTTGCCTCCCGCATGCCAAACTGTAAAAAGACTTCCGCATACCTTGGATGTCGAAGCACAAACTGTAAACCTCAACTACCCCCGACAAGCATGACAAAGTCCCCACAAAACAGAACCCCAACCCCTAAACCCTGAACCAAACCCTGTAGAAACACCTACGAAAATTTACGGTGGATTCCAAGCTTTGATTCTCTGGTCGAGCCTACCAAGGTTCAGGGTAGAGGTTTAGGTTTCAGAGTTTAGTGAGTGTAGATGACGGGTTATTTGACAGTGTGATTATGACGGTCTTTGCGGGGTCTTATCGGGGTCTACGGTTCAGAAGAAACCCTATAACCCTAAACCCTACACCCTAAGCCGTATCTTATTGCGTTGTAGAGGATTTGGTCGGGTCCCAGATCTTCCAAGACCCTTTCGCTAAGTCATACTACTATATACCTTAAAGATATGCGTAGTGGGGACCCTGATATGATTTCAGATGAAAGCCCCAACACTCGAAAGTCCCTAAAGGCTTGAAGGTTTAGCACTGAGGCAGTTTACGGTTGAGGCTTTAGGGCTTTAGACCTTGCGGTTTAGGGTTTAGGGCCACATCTGAGCTTTTCTAGCCGGCCGGATCTCCGAGATAGCCAAAGAAACATGATAGCAATGGCAGTCAGTAGCGGTGAGACTGGCAGCCCGTGCATTTTACAAGCCGATCTGCGTCTAAAAGAAGCGCTACGGTTGAGAGGGAATGCCTACAGTTGCAGCACCAAAATACCAGCATGTTGATATTCAGCATCCCTCATGTCAACTCAACAACCATCGTCGGCCAGATCATCTTCGTCTTAGCCTCCTCCCGCACGCCTTTACCCCATCCCTCACCCCAACCTCCTTTCCGAAAATCTTGGGCTGTTCAGTCTTGTATTTTCTACCAGAAAAACCAGACTCTAAGCTCCCACACTCCAAACCCCAATTTCACCCTCCATTACCCGAATAGTACCCTAGGCTCCTGAGATTTAGGCTTGGTCCGACTCATCGATAACATCGTCGCGGCCAAAGGCGGACAGGCCAGGGGGTAAGAAAAACAGCATAACAAGAAGGAGAGCAAATAGCAATGCGGTACAGGGTTTAGGGTAATAGTACTAGTAATTGTGACAGTTTCGGAAGAACATGCAATATCATTACGAATGGCACAAATAGCAAAAGCAAAGCAAACATCGGTAATAGCAGCAATGTCATGATATGCACTGCGACACTGATACAATGGTGGAGTATCTGGAGGGCTCTTGGTTGTTGTTTGGCTGTATTGATTGTTGGTTATCAGCTTTGTTAGGAATCTGAATTTACTCATGGGGGCATTGAGGTCATAAACTGAATAGCAAATACGCAACAATGTATAGGATGCCTGGTGGCAATAGCAACACGAAATATGGATGTGGTTGCGACGATAAACGATAACATATTAAAGGGTACGAGGGTTTAGATGGTTTGTCGGTGGCTGCTTAATGTGATTGTTGATAACGAGATTTGGGAGTCTCCGAAAATTAGGGGTACCTTCTTTTGGGGCCCTTACAATAAGGATCCTACTATTTAGGTTCGAGGCTGCAGGGTACTATAGAGGATTTCATTGTTTTGAAATGGGGGTGGGGGTCCTTATCATAAATATCGGATAATGGGCCCCGACACCCTATTCTAATTATTACGGCCCCTATACTAAACCCCCAGAATACCCCTTATAGTAACCCCTATAAATCCCTTCAAAAAAGGAACCCTCTAAGGAACCCTATTGTAATTGCTAAGGCCCCTATCTTACACCCTGAACCCTAAGGTGGCAAGGAGCATTGCATTCATGAAAGCCCAGAGACTCCAATATTTATTAATTATGGAATATACCTTAAACCATATCAGGAACCCTGTTATAATTGTATGAGGTATACTCCTTAATTCCCTTACCGAGGCCTTTGCAGATCTCCCTAAGGAACTTCAAGGAACCCGTGGGACTTAGGTATATTCGCCAGTTAGTTAAGGGATATTGGAGTCTCTGGGAGTCAAGCTTGAGTTTCAGGCCCTAAGCTGGCGCAGCTCAGGACGAATATAGGGGGCCTTCGTAAATCGAATACATACAGGGTTTCTACCAAAGGCGTCCTTTCAAAGTTTTGGTATAAGGTTTCTAACGGGGCGTTAGCTGTGACTGTGGGACATTGTTACTAGTTTTTCCAACCCCGTTTCATATTATTCACGACCAACCTGAGCAATTAGCAAGTGGACATTCTGAAACCCGCGATGGCCGTTGGTCACATTTGCTGTAGAATCCTAATCTCTTAAGAAACCTTAGGAAAGACCCATGCCCTTACTCCACGAACGGCCATAAAGCTCTTTGACAAACTTTATGATCCATTCTGAAACCCGTTTCTAGCCGAATTGTCCCTACAAAACACCACAAAACCCATGAAAACCGCTCATATTCAGTTGGGAAAACTTCATACGCTCTGAAATAAGGCCTCGCAGCCCAAAGTTCACCGCGAGCCTTTCAGGTCTGCTGGCCCGCTCGGCTGGATGATTAGTAAGGCCGATTTTAAGATTCCGAAAATGAGGGGTTCCTTTAAAGGAATCCTTTTAGGGTTCCTTAAAGGGATCTATAAGGGTTTTATATAAACGGTTTAGGGTTTAGAGTTTCCGAAAATAAGGGGTACCTTTTTGGGTCCCTTGTTTTCGGAAACCCCCATATCGGATGATTTGCGGGTTTGCAAGCTTTGGGATTTTAGTGATTTCGAGGACAGGTTTGACAATCATACAGCTTTACAGTGCAGGATTTTATAGGGCTTTCTAGGACACAAATCATATGGCTTGATAGGGCTGAGGGGCTTTAGGGTTTGCAGGGCTAAGTAGGGTCAACCCTTAGGAGGGTTAGGGGGCAGGGGGGTGGGGGACTGTACTTCCCTAAATGGCCTTTTTCAGTTCTTATTGCGGGCATTAAGGGTGCCTATGATGAGGCTTACCGATTCAAGGTTTCACGTTTCGAGTTGTGGGCACCCGAAACCCGAAAACTTGGAATTCTGAAGATCCTGGTTGTGGGCTCTGCTAGGTCACTCAGAGACTCCAGTGTCCCTTAATTAAGGAATATACCTTAAGCACCGCATTAGGAATCCTGTTATAATTTCATTTCGTATATTCCTTAATTCCCTTATAGAGCCTTCGGGTTTAGGGGTTTCAGGGTTTAGGTGTATCTCCACTCGGTGGTTACTCCTATCCCTCTTTGATTGTGCTTCAATATGGGGCTGCTATGACTCCTCAAAGGCCGCCCTAGAAAGCCCCATGACACCCTCTAAAATCCTATGCGCAAGCTGCTAGTATCATCAATGTCACTCAAATATAAAACCCCACACCAGCCGTCACTTGCAGGAACCCTGGGAACCCTTTACATCACCCCGTTTCATTGAGACCCCATGTGTGAGTACTTGTATCATGGATCTGGTTGGCCAGATTTGCTTTCGACATGTTCCATCTCGCCTTGTTTTAGAGGCCTATGTGACTACCAACAGTCTTCCTCAGCACCCGGACCCTCATTGTAACTATACTAAGTTATGCCCCACACACATTTCTACTTCTCAAGGCCCCTAAACTACAGCATTCCCAGCGTAGCCGGGCCAGATTCCTGCAGGTCGTCAATGTCATCTCGAATCGGCTTCCGGAATCTCTAGCAGCCGGAGCCTTGCTATTCTCTTCCAGACCTTCCAAATGCCGTACCCAGAGACTCCAATACCCCTTAATTAAGGAATATTCCTTAAATTATAGTAGGATCCCTTTTACGATTTAAGGAATATTCCTTAATTAAGGGATATTGGAGTCTCTGGGTAGTTAAGGAATATACCCCAAATTATAAGAGGATCCCTAATATGATTTAAGGTATACTCCTCAATTAAGCGATATTGGAATCCCCTAAACCCGAAACCCTATACATCCCATATAGCAACTGACCCCTTGAAGGAACCCTTATGGATCCTTGAATTAAGGGGTTTTGGAAGGTCTGGGTTCACCTGGGTCCCGAGGGAGACACGGGAGTTTCCGAAAATTAGGGGTACCTTATTTGGGGGTCCTTGTAAGAAGGATCCTATTACTTAGGGTACTATATTAGGGTCCCCTGTGTTCGGAAACTCCCATGTGGGGCTGACCAGATGACCTCAAACTAGGTCACTGGGAAGGTTTCTTATGTGTATATCATATCTAGGGATCTGTAGGGTTTAGGGTTCTGAGACCAATCTTTGGTTATTGTACTCCCTAAGGAACAGCTACACTTGTAAGTTTTGCTGAGATTCTAAGTCTAAGTTCAGTATAGTTATAGGATCATGTGACTTACTAGCTGGATTGTCTTGATAAGGTTACTGTACTTAGAACTCAGTGTACCCCCAATATACAGGAGTTATACTGTACCCCTGAGTCCATGCTCCTCCCAGTTGACTGAAAACACCCCGAACCCCAGCAGGCAGCAGGCCCAGATTCACACAGGGATGCACAGGAAAGAGAGATCAAGACAATGCAAACCCCAAATATGGCTTAGTGGCTCTCTGAATACCTGTGATGTTACGTATACAATACAGTATAGTATTATAGTATAGTATTTGGGCAACCGAAGGTGCCATCAGACCAATTTGGCCCCGGTCGAAGCCTTTCAGGAAATGAGTGGATATGTGACCTTCTGGGTTATAGAACGCTGCCGTGGCCAACAGGCAGATTTCAGTTCAATCAAAAAGCTTGCAGCATATTAAAGCCAAAGACCCGATTCCAATTATTAAAGCCTCGGTATCTAAAACTCCCAGCTACGGCCAATATCAAACCCCATCAACCCCTCATCCAAAAAAAATGCAGCATCTACATTTCGTTGCCACTAAACCTTAAACCCCTGAAGCCCTCGAGCCCTGTACCTTCGAGCCGTTCAAGGCACCAAGCCACACGGTCACAAGGACATAATCGAGGGGCTTAGATAATTACCAATACTTTTCAAGGGGGTCCTTAGTCTCTTTCTAGCATATTGGGCCCTAAACCCTAAACCCTATTGGGCCCCAAAGCCCTAATTGGGGGGTTTAAGTTCTTCTGACCCCAATCACTAAGGCGCCATTACGGAGCCCTTCAAGTTACGACTTCGGGAGTCTCCCAAGTCTCAGGATCCTTTCCTAGGTGGCAGTTTGGAAACTTGTTAATTTCCCTGATGGTTCCTATAGAGCTATTCATAAATACTTTTCAGAGCCCCAAAACTACAACCCAGTTTCAGCATTTGCCTAGAAGTAGAGGAGGGAACGGGGGTAGTATAGCCCCTATATCATCCCTATATATCCAAGAAGGTTAACCTTTAGTTCCCCATGGTACCCGACAGGTTTAAGCGCGAAACCCTTAGACTTAGAGGCCTAAGAGCCCTGCAAGGAAGCATTTGAAGAACCCTTTTGAGGAGTTTTTTCTCTTAGGCCCGAAACCCTAAACCCTGAAAGACCCCCTTTGAGGAAGCCTGAAAAACTCCCTTCAAGTAGCCCTTGCAGACTCCTGCCCTTGAAGGCCTTTTCGGGAAGCATAAACCCTAAACCCTAAACTCTAAACCTTAAACCGTCAGCCCAGACCCCGAAGCCTTGAACCCCCAAAAAATCCTTTCACCCTAAACTCTAAGCCCTAAACCCTCAGCCTTAAACCCAAAAGTCTAAGCCCTAAACCCTGGCTAGGATGCCCAGTAGTACCTGTATTCCCTTTTTGTAGTCCTAGGCTCCTTATAAAGTTACTCAGTGCCAAAAAGGGAACCTTTTTTTATTCCTAGGTTGCGGGGCATCCTAGCTAACCCCCGAAAATTCCATGCCTCTGAAGCATAGGGATCTATAAAGATTCCTGTAAGGGCTCTAAAAGGGCTAAAAGGGAGTTCAAAAAAAAACACTAACCCTCAACCCTCAACCCTAAACCCCTAAACCCTAAACCCTAAAAATCACTAACCCCCGAGGGTTCCATCCCTTTTAGCGGCCCAGGTTCTGCAGAAGTCGGCTCTGGCTCGGGTCTGAGCGGGGGCAAAAGGAGACTACGGTGGATTCAAAGGGGAACAGGTTAGGGTTGTTTAGGGTCTCTCAGAGGGGAAAAGGAGGGACCCTAGGGTTCCTCTAAAGGGATCTATAAGGGGTTCCTTAAAGGGATCTGCAAGGGTTCTATAAAGGGTTTAGGGTTTAAGGTTTAGTTTAATCAAAGGAGAACAGGAGGGACCCTTAATGGGGACCCCTACCCTATAATGGGCTATATAATCGGTATATACTACCTATATTAAGGGTATATTCCTAGGGGTCCTTATTAAGGGTCCCTCTTTTTACCCTTGGATTGATGATATAAATCCTGGGGTTCCTTTAAAGGGATCTGTAAGGGTACCTTTAAGGGATCTATAGGGTTTTAGGGTTTAGGGTTTAGGGATATAAATCCTGCATTACCCAAAATGGGGCACTCACCATTATTCCCATAGTTTAGGGTCCTTAAGGTAATGCAGGGTTTACATCATCAACCGGTTGATGATATGAATCCTGCATTACCCAGACCGGGAGGATCCCCTTAATGGGGGTTCCTACAAAGTACCCTTAGTAGCGTAGGGCCCCAAATTAGGGGATCTACTTTCGAGATCCTCCCGGGGGTCTGGGTACCCTAAAGGACCCTAAACGATGGGAATAATGGCATTTCTCTTATTATGGGTAGTGCAGGATTTATATCATCAACAGTAGGACCCAGAGGCCCTTGTTCCCTTTTTTAGGGTTTAGGTTCCCTTATAAGGCTCTGAGTGGGGCAAAACGAGAACTGAGTAGCAGAGTCATATAGGGGCGGGGGCCTACACAATTATCCTACCTTTTAGGGGTTCTTTAAGGGATTTATAGGGTTTAGGGTTGAGTAGTAGAGGAGGTAACCCTTATAGTTAGAACCATTAAAGGGATCCTTAATTAAGAGTTCCTTTTGGGGATCTATAGGGTAGTATAGGGATAGTATAAGGAACTAGACTAGGATTCCTTAAACGGGGATACTATAAGGGTTCTATCAGGGATTTATGCATACAGGGATCTGGGGGGCCTAAATAATTACCTACACTGCCTTTAAAGGGATCCTCAAGGAATCGGGGTGTAGGTCTAGGAAGAGCAGCAAAAGGAGAGCTTAGTAGTAGAGGAGGCGCCTGGGGTTTTCGTGCTTTGAGGGTTTAGGGCTTTAGGGGTTTAGGGGTTTCGAAGATGCCTAACTCGGGACTTGTGCCGGAAGAAATTCTAGAGTCAACGACCCACACAATGTTCAGAAAGACCAGAACATTAGTCCCTCTAGGGAAGCACCTGGAAGGGAACACAGGGTTGGAAGACGACGTGACCCTCCCCACCCATGTCGACGCAGGCTCTACCTTTGCCGATAGCACGTTGTCTTCTTCCCGTGTACAAGTCGGCACAAAACACTGGACCGAGCGTAAAGAAGATGTACATCTTCGATCTCGGGAACTTCGTCAATGCAAAATCAAAGACCTCTAGATTGGGATCGAAAGCACAGAGGACCATCGATCAGAGATTCTCTGCAAAGTTGGACCAACTAAGTTGGAGGTAGAGTACATTGGGTATGATGTGAGCATAAGAGCTCTTGATGTGAATCCTCCCCACTGCAAGACACAAGTCTGGGGTTTTAGTGCTTTAGGGGTTTAGGGGTTTTTTCGGTTTAGGGAAATCAAGGGTGGTTTTTGGCATGTTTCTTGGGGTTGTTCATATATAGAGCTTTGTGGGCATTTCTGGTGCCTCTTATTGAGCAAGGTCTTAAGGGTTTTGGCTTAAGGGTCTTGTAGGGTTTCTACAGAGCTTGTAAAGATATGTTTGCTTAAAGGGCTTCTAAACCGCTTGATAAGGGCCTGAACCTTAAATCCTAAACCAAAAACCCCAAGACCCTAACCTCTACTATACGGGGCCTTAATAAATATCTATACCATTTTGGTGGTTCATTCCTATAATTATAGTGTAATAGGACCCAAAAAGCTATTCTAATTCTTTAGGCCTCTATATTATAGTACCCTTATAGTAACCCTTATAGAGCCCTTTAAAGGAACCCCTATTCTCATCATTAAGGCCCCTACATTAAGGGTGTTCCCAGAGACTCCGCCCCTATATTAAATCCTAAACCTGAGGGTTTTGGTTTGGGGCGGGTGTCGACGGTTTGAAGACAGCTTCTGAAGGCTCCAAAGTTACAGGGTTTTAAGACTAGGGTTTCTTTTTTAAAGGGGTCTTTAGGGGCTACTATAAGGGTTGCTATAAGGGTACTATCATGTAGGGGCCTTAATATTCAGAATAGGGTTTCGGGGCCCATTATATTATAACTATCACAGGGAACTACAACTGTTGAGGCCCCTATATTAACTTAGGAACCATAAACTTTAAACCCCTGCATCCTAGCCGAAAGAACCTGCAGGATTTTTAGAATTTTTAGTGGTTTAGGGTTTAGGGTAGTGGTCAAGGGTTTAGAGGAACCGTGGTAGAACCCCCTAAACCCTAAACCCCTAAACCCCTAAACCCCTAAACCCCCAAACCCAACCGCCCCCCCCCCCCCCCTGCAGGTTCAGTCGGCTTCATCCGCTCTGCTGCGGCGGCTGCGGCGGCAGTCGGAGCCCGGCGGTTCCTCGGCTTTCGACGGGGGCTTGGGGTTAGGACCTTCTTCGGGCTTTTTAAGGAGTTTAGGGTTCCCTTAAAGGAGCCCCTATAGTACCCTTTAAAGGAACCCCCAAACCCTTAAAACTCTATGGATCACGGTTCAGGGTTTTGTGGATGTCTTAACTTTTAGGAAGAGTTTTGGGGCTTCGAGGCGCGTTCAGGGCTCTGGGAGGTCCCCGATCTAACATTGACCCCTGCATGCAGGGTCATGGGACTTAGTGACCAGGGTGGTAACAACCGGTCGCTGCACCTATACTTCATCATAGACCCAGCCAGGGTTCGGGGCCTAGAGCTAGAGGCTTGAAAGGTCCTAGAAGGGAGCACGAGTTGAGAGGTGGGCTTTGAGGTTCATATGGGGTTTAGCGTTTAGGGGTTTAGGGTTTAGGGTTAAGCCTTTGGGGTTACTGGTATTTCCGCAGTTTTTTCATGGTAGTTACTGTATACTAGACTCCAAAGCCCCATTCGAATCATTCAGGCCCCTCTATCATTAAGGCTGTGAACCTCAGATCTTAAGCAGGTATCTAGGGCTACGACCCTCAGCACGAAATCCTATTCGCAATGATCGGAGCCTCAAGCTAGACACCACAGCATATGGGAGTTTCCGGAAATAGGGGACCCTAATATAGTACCCTAAATAGTAGGATCCTTATTATAAGGACCCCAAAATAAGATACCCCCAATTTTCGGAAGCTCCCCTCTCGATTGCGGTGGAAGTTGTGCTGCTCAGTGGCAAGAAAGTCACTGTACAAGCCTCTTGGACGACAGAGGAAGCCCCTATGCACCCGCTCTGGTACAGTCTCGTTCGATCCTTTGTCAAGCCCAGCAACTGCGACTAGTGCTCTTGCAAAGCTCCTACTTCGAGGATCATGGGACTTAGTAAGTACAGTTATAAGTACCCTAATTGGGGTTACAAGTAGATATAACTGTAGTTACCTTAATTATAACTTTTGCAAAGCTCCTACAGAGCCTGGGTTCCCCAGTAGTACCCGTTTGCCCTTGTGTTTTTTGGGGTTCCTTCATCAAACCCAAATACCGTTGTCATTAAAAGGCTCCTGGGGACCCTGGTAACCTTCAGGCTCCTTTACTACAAACCCCTCATACCCAGATTTCCGGGAGGATCTAGAAAGTAGATCCTCTAATTTGGGGCCTTATATACTACTAAGGGTACTTTATAGGAACCCCCATTAATGGATCTACGTTTTGGATCCTCCCGGGGGTCTGGGTAAAGGGTTTAGGGTTTAGGGGTCGCATAAGCGCATGAGGCCCTTGTGCTGGAACTTACGAACAGGCCCTGATTGAATCCTTGGAAAGCCGTTCAGGATCTTCGGTTAAGGCCCCTTGAAACGATTTGTGATGGACGTACTGAGCAGCAGCGTCCTGTCGCGATCCCCATTTATTTACACTGTAATGGACCCCTTTATAGAACCATATAAGGCCCTTATAACGTTATCAAGATGTTTTTCTTATTTTTGAGGCGGAAGGCCTCGCATAAAGAAAGTAACCCTTCAAAGAAGAAATTCAAAAGCAAACGACACCCATAAAGGCCCTTGCATGTTTCCTGCCCAGGCTCATCGCTACAGCGCCTGCTGGGATACCTTCCCGACGTGGCTTCGGTCTGCTCCCTCAGGGGTCATAGGGAATGTTTTATGAGTGTATGCACAATATAAGGTAAGATAGTAGAATGGGTTTTGATATAGTTATAGACGGACAAGAATGCTCTTTCATGCTTAATCGGTTTCTAGAAGGTTTCAGTGCTTGGGAGGGACGAAGTGGCTTTGACAGGTTGTTGCATGCTTTATACTTGGCGGCGGCTGGGGTCCAATTTCCGTGGCTAAGGCTTTAGACTTTAGAGCTTGCTACGGAGGTTGGAATAAGCCCTGTATAGTTTGGCCCTTTTTGCAGAAGTACAACGGCGTAGTGGCTACGGCTCTGAAACTCTACAGTTCAAACCCCATCGACTTTACGGCCCAAAGCCCCGAAAGCTTAAAATATCTTTGTCAAGAAGTCCATGGCGGCCACTCTCAAAGAGGAGTGCAAGAACATGGTCAATAAGGCTACCGTGTCGCGGTACGGATCGCTGCAACAGAGCGTCACCTATGAGCCCTCCCAGGAAGAGCTTCCCACTGCCAGGGGTAATGCTGACATGTGGGTGGCGGCCAAGGGTCACCTGGGACCTCTGGAGCGCGAGGTCATGGATGCCTGGCAGGCTACCAGACTCTTTCAGTATATCATATGTTTGGATTTTTATAAACATAGTACAACATCATGTCGAAAGGCATGACGACTGCGTCACTGGAGGAGGTGGAGATGTTCTCACGCATCCGAAAGGGGGCCTCTAAAAGTCAGCCATTTGTCTTTCCTTCTAGACGAGGCCCCAGTTGAGGGACACGAGGAGCTGCCGTGAGAGAGTTGAGAGGAGGAGCTCGTTCAAGCGTTTGGTGAGGACCTGGGAATCCAAAAATCTAGTGTCTTAGGGATGGTACCCTAAAATCAGCAGGCCATAACATACTATGTTGCAGGGTTTGGGGTGCAGGGTTTAGGTAAGATATTGCGAATGTCTGACTCGCACCTGAGAGCGAGAAGGAGGATGAGATCGCCCCAAACTTGTCAGACCCGCCGGAGGATCCAAGAAGTAGATGTCTAAACGGTGTTCCTCTGAAGTACCCTTTAGTGGCACTGCACAGGGTGCTAAGCCAGGTGGTCTAAACATCCCGGTGGTCTGGGTTTGTGAGAGTTGCAATGGAGCGCTGCGAGACACTCTTCAGCAGCAGCGGGCCTCCCTTACCTGGGTAGTGCTCTAAGTCAAGGTCCGTTTAGGGTCCCGGTTATAAGGTGCCGTACTATTTGGGAAGCTAAAAACGGCCCCTAATTGAAGAAATTACATGGATTCAAAACCCTACAATCCCCGCAAGTGAAAAACTCCGACAGCCTGCCTCAGCCCCTACAGCCTAAAGATCTGCACCTTAACAATTAAGAACCCGAACCTTAAACTCTAAACACTCCATCCTAAAGTCCTAAAGCAATCCCTACACCCTAAGCTCCCGAAGCTCTATCTCTTTTGACTATTATAGGATCCCTGTTAAAGGAACCCTTAAAGGAAGCCCGATAAGCTTCCTCTCCCGTAGATTTTTTTGGACTCCTTCAGAGGAATCTAAAGGAGCCGTTTAAAGGAACACTTTTGGATCCTTTTACGATCCCTTCAAAGGAGCCCCGTAGATCCCTTTAAAGGAAACCTTGCAGGCTACTTCAAAGAAACCCCGGAAGACCAAGGAACCCTTATAGATCCCTCTACAGGAGCCCTCGTAGATCCCTTGAAAGGAGCCCTGTTTTACAGCCCCCCTTTTTGCTTCGCCGCCGTAGGTGGACAGCCTCAAAGAGCTCCCTGACGACGGCGAGTGGGAAAGCAGGGAGACCCAGGATGCTTCTAGGGACCCTTAAAGGGCTCCTTAAAGGGATCTATAGAAAAGGGATCTATGGGGTTTAGGGTTCAGGGTCTACTTGGAGGGGCAGGGGACTTAGTAAGTAGGTTATAAGTAGAGTTATAAGAACCCTAAATGGAGTTACCCCAATTTTCTACCCTACTTAAAAACGACTTACTAAGTCCCCTGCCCCTCCAAGTAGGGGCCTTTAAAGCTAGGTAGGCCCTTGGGCCATTTTATATTTTCCCTTATTGGGTTTAAGAGGATCTTGTTTACGAGTATTTTCAGAAGCTTTGAGGTGCCAACCTAGAAAGGGGGCCCTATTATAGTATAGTAACCCTCTAAAGTGGGACCCTATAACAGAACACTAATAGTACCCTTTAAATGGGTCTGTAGGGTGGCTTTATGACGGGATCTATAGGTTGCTAGGGTCGCTTTAGAGCGATTAAGGGATGCGTTAAGGGATGTATCGGCTTCTTTTTGGGGGAGCAAAAGGGTTGCTTTAAAGGCATCTATAAGGGATGTATAAGGGCATGCTTATGGGCCTTTGGGGTACTTAATGGTACGTACTTGAAGGAGCTTTGGGTATTGTAGGCTCCTTCAAGGTCTATTTGTCAGGGATCCCTGATATTCCGCTTTCTGCGCTTTCTGAAGCTCCAAACTCAATTCCGCTACTTTGGCGGTATATTAGTCCTACGCTTTGCCTTTTGCAGCCCCGTTTGTAGACTGCTCCGTCTTCTGATCTTCCAACGCGTGTTTGGCCTCTGTCTCCGTGCCCGCAATTCTGGCATCCTCCGCCAAAATTTTCGCAATCAACGTCTCTCATCCCCCATCGTTCTCTTCACGGACTTGTTCTATAGAAGTAGTAATAGTAGTAGTAGTAGTAGTAGTAGTAGTAGTAGTAGTAGTAGTAGTAGCAGTAGTAGTAGCAGTAGTAGTAGTAGTAGTAGTATATAGTAGTAGTAGTCGTAGTAGTCGTAGTAGTCGTAGTGGTAGTGGTAGTAGTGGTGGTAGTGGTGGTAGTGGTGGTAGTGGTGGTAGTGGTGGTGGTAGTGGTAGTGGTAGTGGTAGTGGCAGTGGTAGTAGTGGTAGTAGTGGTAGTAGTGGTAGTAGTGGTAGTAGTGGTAGTAGTGGTAGTAGTGGTAGTAGTGGTAGAAGTGGTAGTAGTGGTAGTAGTGGTATTGGTACCACTACTGGCCTTGCTAGTGCTAGTAGTGCGAGCAGTCCTCGTAGTGCTAGGGTGCTCGTAGTGCCTGTACTGGTGTGCGCCCCCAACGTTTGCAGATTCCGGGGCACATGGCAGGTTGCAGATACACCTAGGTTGGGGTTGAAGAAAGAGCGTCACTAAACATGAGCGTTCTGAGACCCGACGTGTGGAAATGACAGCAGGGCCAGCAAACTTCGGGAGGGTGCCCAAATTGGATAATGTCTGCCTTTTTCGCTCTGCTGAGAAGCGCAAAAAAAAACGTTGGCACGGCAAGTACTCGTGCCGGTTCTACGTTCAGCAAGTCTGGCATTTCTCACTCTGTCTGCATTCCTGTTCTCCACTCACAACGACATCCTCATGGTCGGACCATGTGTGCTCTCCGCTCAAAAGGAATAGACCATTGACGTCATCATGGTTACTCCATTCGAAACGGCTTCGACCATGGACAGTCTCAAACACTGTTTGCGCGACACGAACCCGCCTAAACCACGAATCTTGTGGCTGATGCAGGTGATCTCAGCTGGTGGATTTCAAGGCGCGGATGTTCGGCAGATCACCCTAAACCACAGACTCCGAATGCAGAACAAGGACGCTAAATCCTGGACCCCTGAATACCCGAAACCTGCGGATTTTCCTGGACATCCTAGCTACGGACCTCGGTTCCCGAAGAGAACTGAACAGAAGATGGAGACCTTGATATTGGTTTGGGGTTAAGAATCCAAGATTTCAGTTTGGAGTTTGATTCTAGCTTGGGGCTTGAGGTTTCCGACTCCGGTTTGGGGTTGGACCGTGCCTGCTGTCTTGCAAACGGTGCTGAATGCGTCGCGTGAGGCTGCTACCATTGTACTGGGTGCTTGGGCTTCGAAGAGTATGGCGACGGATCCAGCCATGGTGTACAGGTTGTGTTCCGTTTGCTATAACGATCTCATGCGTTACTACTACAATAGGGTCGAAAATCAGCATCGTGGATTATCAGACTCCGCGAAATTTGGTTTACGAGAAATGGGGTTTAGGGTGGACACTTGATTCAGAACCGCTTGCTTTCATCCAAACCTCATGATCTAGGATGCCCAGTAGTACCCTTATTCCCTTTTTGTAGTCCTAGGTTCCTTATAAAGTTACCCAATACCAAAAAGAGAGGCCTTTTTATTCTTAGGTTACTGGGTATCCTAGTTATTGGGATCCTTCATCTCGTAATGTGGAGGTGGGAACGCTTAGTGACAGTGGTCCGGCCATGTCTATGCGGCCAGGCTTCTTGGGTGAAGGAGAAGAGTGGGCGAAAGGTATGTACTCACTTTCTTTCCCATACTGTAAACTACCCCCAAAACCTATTCTAATCATTCAAGCCCCCATGATACATGTGCGTACTGAACCGTGCGTACTGAACCACATCTCTATGTAAAAGGATCACCGGGCACCCTGCCCAAAACTGTAAAACTCCTGCGCCAGGCAGTAACCGATGAGCCCCAGAATGGCAAGGCCACTGCTGTTAAGATGGACCCTCTGACTGGAGGGTTGATGGAAAACCTAAGTCCTTGAGAAGGTTTAGGGCTTCGTGACTAGTGGCGTCAGGGTGAGGAACGGGGAATGCCGTTGAGCGTGGCTCAATGCCGTGAGTAGCAAACGTCCGGTACAGTCCTTGCAGAGTTCCTGACCTTCCCAAATCCCCCAAACAAGGATAGTAAAATGACTTGTATTCTTTTATTACGGGGTGTAAACCTCCTAAATAAGTACTATCTGAACCCTACTATGACATGTGTTCCTGAAATAAGGGGCGTTTGGAAGGTCCGAGGCATTTCGCACTCCTGAGGCCCCAGGCTACTTCTGCGCTGCTCATCGCAGTACTCTTGGCATGGGTCCCACTGACACTAGTTTCACTAGGACCCAGAGTAGGCCCTTATTCCCTTTTTTAGGGTTTAGGTCCCCTTATCAACCCCATTAAACCAAAAAGGGCACCCTTTTTATTCCTAGGCTACTCTTCGGTCTAGTTTCACGATTCACGACTACTATTCCCCAAATCTTAAGCCCTAATCTAGCAGCCTTTTAATGGGCTATATAATGGGTATATAATAGCTACATTAAGGATATATACCTAGGGGTCCTTACTAAGGGTCCCTCCTTTCTGTACAATTAGGAACATCATTCCTTAAAGCTCCTTGTCACAACTATGCAGGCCCCTACGTAGGTTAGAACCTAAGCCTCAGTGCGGAGATACCGTCTACGATTCAGGCTTTCGAAATTCTCACGCTTGGAATTGGTTGGTGCGTAAGGACGGAAGTGTCTACTCTCTTTATGAGCCAAGCACAAAGCTATGTACCGCAAGATGCGTCCATAAGATGTCCATGACTTCGAACATCCCAGCATATGACCTTTCTGGGTTAGGAATGTTCCAGTTTCAGGTGCCCTTCAGCTTGGTTCTGAGTTTGGGCTTGCGAGTCGGGTGCGAACATGTCATACCTATCATGGGACTTAGTAAGTAAGCTTATAACCACCTTAATAAAAGCTTATAAGAAATTACAAGGTATGATTACATTCTTTATGACCCTTGCTACTAAGTCCCATGATCCTTGGAGCACGCTCTGAAGCCCCCCGCAATTCAGACTGCTCGGAATGCGCTCTGGGGCTGCAGGTTTTCAGGCCTTAGGGTTTTAGGGTTTAGGGGTTTAGGGTTTAGGAATTTAGGGTTTGGAGTTACTAGGGCTTGCAATGCTACGTTTAGCTATCGCATGGCACTGCACTTGTGGCTCTGTTCATGGAAAGACTCTTGTATGATCAATGGGAGACCAGTCATGTGCTGCATGTTACTTGTGTCACTCGGCCGCAAGATAGAAACATACACCGCGCAGGCAGGCAGGATTTAAGCTTTGGCCCGCTTCTTCGGACGTGAAACATGTCGATTACCGTGGAAGTTGCGCTGCTTAGCGGCAAGTCGACCAAGGTTGAGGTAAGTTTGAACGAACACGTAGCAACCCTGAAGCTTCGGGCGCAGACTGCGCTTGGAGTGGCAAAAGGGCAGCTGGTGGATTCATCTGGATGCATTCTGGATTGTTGTGCATCGATCAAGCAAGCCGGTATGCAAAATGGTGACTTACTGACCTGGTGCTTGAAAAGAGTTCAAGTGCAAGCAGATGGGAGTGGAAGCGCAATGGCTGCCACTCTCGGTGATGGATCCGCTGCGAGCTGGGGTCTTACTCACTCCGGTGGTGACAGCACCCGTGTGCAAAATCAGTTAAAGAACGTGCAGCAGATCCAAGCCTCCAGATCCGCTTTTGCTGCCATTCTCGAAGAAGGATTGGTTGTGAGCTGGGGTCAGCCCTCACATGGTGGCGACAGTAGTGCTGTGCAGGACCAGCTGAAGAATGTGCAGCAGATCCAAAGCTCAGCTGGCGCTTTTGCTGCTATTCTTGTCGATGGATCCGTCGTGAGCTGGGGTGGCCATTTAAGCGGTGGCGACAGGACGGCTGTGCATGAACAGCTGAAGAATGTGCATCAGATCCAAGCCACTGGGGGTGCTTTTGCTGCCATTCTGGGCGATGGATCCGTCGTGACCTGGGGTGATGCTACCTCTGGTGGTGACAGCAGTTCTGTGCAGGCTCAGCTGAAGAATGTGCAGCAGATCCAAGCCTCCGCTCACTCCTTTGCTGCGATTCTTGGCGATGGATCCGTCGTAACCTGGGGCGATGCTCGTTATGGTGGTGACAGTCGTGGTGCGCGGGATAAGCTGAAGAATGTGCAACACATCCAAGCCACTCGGGGCGCTTTTGCGGCCGTTCTCGGCGATGGATCCGTCGTGACCTGGGGTCCTGCTTTATGTGGTGGGAACAGCAGTGCTGTGCGGGATCAGCTCAAGAACGTGCAGCAGATCCAGGCCTCACACAGGGCTTTTGCTGCTTTAATTGCCGACGGATCCGTCGTAACCTGGGGTGATGGTGACGCTGGTGGAGACAGCAGCCGAGTGCAAAATCAGTTAAAGAATGTGCAGCAGATCCAAGCCACTGCAAGCGCTTTTGCTGCTATTCTTGCTGATGGATGTGTCGTGAGCTGGGGCTGTTCTCGCCACGGTGGTGACAGCAGACGTGTACGGCATCAACTGAAAAATGTTCGGCAGATACAAGCCTCTGGCGGTGCTTTTGCAGCCATCCTGGCTGGTGGATCCGTCGTGTCATGGGGGCATGATAGTGATGGTGGCGACAGTAGTGCTGTGCAGGATCAGCTGGAAAATGTGGAGCAGATCCAAGCCTCCGAGAGCGCTTTCGCTGCCATTCTTGGCAGTGGAACTATCGTGACTTGGGGTGCTGCTGGCATGGGTGGTGACAGCAGCGCTGTACATTGTCAGCTCAAGAGTCTGTAGCGGATGTGTCCAAACCCTGGAACCTTTGGCCTCCGGTGGCATGCTGAAGTTCTATATCACCAGCCGAAAGATGACCTTTGCTTGTCGCAACGAGAGCTCGGGTTTAAGGGCCAGAATTCAGCGTCTATACTGGCTTACTATACTAAGGATCCTACTATTTAGGGTACCATATTAGGGTCCCCTATTTTCGGAAACCCCCATATCCCTAGTTACAAAGTCCCATGAACCTCTGAGTATTGAGTTTGCGGCTTCAGCCTTCAGGTTGCTCTGCACTTTCTTTGCAATGAACCTTCAATTTTCTCGAGTACAGGGAACTCCAGAAAGTTGGAATATGGATTAATGGTAGGATCCCCTATAATTTACCTTAAAGGGGTAAGGATAATGGTATTCCAACTTTCTGGCTTCTACTGTACTGTTTTGGGTGCAGCATTGCTTCTCCCCCAGTTCAGGAAGGATTGAAATAGCATTGCGAGGTAGAAGCAAATATGAATCAGGCTGATCATTGCGAGTATGCCGACGATGCCGAGAACAACACTCCGAAAGATGCACTCACCAAGTTTTACGCAGTGCAAACCCTACTTCAACTCATTCTGAAAACAAAGTATTCATGGACCCTAAACCCTAAACCCCCTAAACCCTAAACCCTAATTGGACTTAGGGTTACTGAATGGCGGCTCTTAGGTTGGGCTTAGTGTGATGGTCGGAAAAGTTAATGATAATACACCCTTCTAGTCCCAAGTGTAATCAAAGTAGAATATACCCGAAAAGCCTAGTCTACTTACGAAGGCCTCTATGTGCGGGTTTCTAGTAGCTGACTAGTAGCTAACTTTCGGACAGGTCCATCGATGGCCCTGACGCAGCCACTTGACTGTTTCGTGATTGATTCGGCAATGTAGGCGCACAGGAGCCGGAGGCAAGAATTTCCAGGCCTCCAGGAGTTAGGGTTTAGGGGTTTAGGGTTTAGTGTTTTTAATTAGGGCTCCTGAGCCTCCATGACTAGGATGTAGAGTAGGCCCTTGTTCCCTTGTTTAGGGTTCAGGTTCCCCTCCAAGCCCCTTTAACCCAAGAAGGGCACCCGTTTTATTCCTAGGTTACAACTGGGCCTAGATGAAGAACCTGATTGCCGATAACAGGAACAGTGATGATCAAGGTAGCCGTCGGAATGCTAATGCTCACCGCAGTGCTAGTAGCAGCAATCAAGGAAAGAAGCCTCTCAAAAATCAAGAATCAAGAACTAATTCCCTGGACTGCAAGGATAAGAACCCTAAACCCCAAAACCCGTACGACCCCGAAACCCTAAACCCCAAAACCCCTAAACCCCACACCCCAAAACCCGTACGACCGAAACCCTAAACCCCAAAACCCCTAAAACCTTTAAAACCCCTAAACCCCAAAAAACCCTGCGACCCCTAAACCCCAAAGGTTCTAAGCCTGCCTCCTCAGCTTGTAGGTCTTCCAGCGCGAACTTTTTCGCTTATTGTATTCTAAGGTTCCTTGTAAACCTCTAGGGTTCCCTTTAAAGAGTTCCTTAAAAGGCATCTATAAGGGACCTTCAATAGGGTTCTATGATGTAGGGGCATTAATGATTAGAACAGGGTTTTTTGGGGGCTCCTTAATTCATATTCATTTAATTATAATACCAGGATAACACCAAACCCTCTTCTAACTAATTATTACGTCCACTGCATTACCGTAGAACAAAAAGGAAGCCCTTTTCATTCCTACTCTACGGGGATCCTAGCATAACTGCCGCCAAATCTCAAGCCCCCACGGATTTCAGGAATACCTCGGGCTCCCCAGGTCGTCTGAAATTCTTCAAGCAAGTAGTATACCTTGAACCAGACTTTGGATCCTACAATAATGTAAGGTACTGGCTTTGCGTATGTTCTTGGAGCATTTGAGTACACATGTGCGTGTGTATGTATGTATGTATGTATATATGTATGTATGTATGTATGTATATATCTATATATATATATATATATATATATATAGTTATATGGGTTTTATACTTATATGGATTTATATTCCTACTCTTTTTTATGAATATTCATGACTACGTATATTCATGTTTATTTTTCACATGTTGAAAAACGAGATGTCGT